CTTCCCTCGGGGGACACTCACTAGAATCCTCTGGCTTCCTTGGAGACTATTTGAATAGCTCCTTCAGAAGAGCTTTTCCCTTTCAATAGGACAAAGCTGCAAGAACTAGGGAAATAAGGTTGCAGCTACATTTCTCCACACTGCTCTAGGGATTTAAAACCTGACCACCTTGCCAGCTTCTGCTTGGAAGGCCTCTTTATTACCACAGACAGACTTGGGAACAGTATTGTTGCTTAGCTAGCTGAGTATCTATTTTCATTCTTCCATTCATCAAGGATTTAATTATTTCAGTTAAAACTATTTTACATTTGTTTGTTTGGTTTTTTTGTTTTTATTGGTTTTGTTTTGTTTTATTTTAGATTTTTTTGGACTAATCAACCTTTTTTTTTTAGATTTATAGTTTTTATCTGGACTTTCTCACCCCCTTTTATTGTTGAATTGTAAGAATTTATGATAGTGCTAAAAAGAAAATTTCATGCTAGTATGGAATATCTTTATGAACTAAAAGGAACTTTTTAATGAAGTAGAAAATTGATAAACTCAGTAAAGGATCTTGGCAGCCTCATCTTCCAGAATGGACTCTTACAGGTCCTATTTGGCAACATTCAAACTCGGTGGCTCTTGGCTGGAAGAACAAGATGAAGACATTTATGAGGTTGAATCTAGAGTACCTTTACCATATCCTTTTCCTCTGTGTGAACATTTGGATGAAAATAACTCAGTAATTATTAATACTTCTATTTTTCATTTTATTCATGAAAGAAATGGGCACATATTAAAGCTTATTTCTAAAATTTCACTGCCTACCCCTCCTTATTCAGTAAGTATTTTAAAAGTAATTTATTTTAAGAACTAAATATAATAATAAATGAAAATTTTAAGTATCTTTATTAAAGTTAAATGGAATAGAATCTTGTTTTGTTATTGTTTGATGTGTTACTACCCATTCATCCTAGATTTATTGAAGGGCTAAATTTGGTCCTAGAGCCGCAACTTAGCCTAGAATGAGATAATACTACATTTCTCCAGTGCCAGGCAAGCTATTGAAAAAGATCCTGCTTGTACTTAAGATTCTTGCATTTGTGTGTTTACGATGCTGATCCTAAATTAAAATGAAATGCTGTCTTTGAGAGAATAGGCATTGTGATATCTACAACAGGTAAGTGACTTGTCATTGAGCCATTTAGGTGTTTATAATCATATGGCATATTGGTTTTAGTTCCAAACAGACAAGAAAAAAGGAAGCTTGAATTTTAAATTTTCTTAACACCCTAAGGAACTTACTTTCTGTTTTTAATATGCCTACTGTTCCTGTAAAGAAATACCCTTTTCTGCTTTCAATGTGAAGTGTATTTTCTCAGGGTTTTTAGCATAAAGATCCTGCATATTCAGTATTGCAGTTTCATTTGATACTTAAGTATGTTTGAATGATTCACCACAAACTATTCAGCACTTTTTATGACATTGTTTACCTATATATCCTAGCTAATATTTAACAAACCAGATGGACTTCATAATAGTTTTGTTACCTCTTTGTCAACTTTTATTTTAAAGTGACAGAATATTTACTGATGTTTTACTCATACTTTAAGTGTAATAATAAGTTTCCTAAAAACTTTTAAAATACTGAATTTGATTTTTTATACACTTCACATTGTCTAGATATTAGGAATAAATTGTACCCTAACTAGATGGGAGAGATTTTTTTTAAGTATGTAAAGTATTTAGATAAAAATTTGAAGGGGATCTTGTATCCCAATAAAGTGTGGATCCATCTACTATCATAAAATTTGTTTGCTAGGTTTACTGTATTTGGTTGCTTCATCTGTTTCGTTTTGTTTTGTAAAACCAGTTATTTATGTTTTTATGGTAAATACTTAAATGTGTTGTAAGGCTGATTCAGATCTTGTAAAATAAAACATACAAGCAAAGACTTACTTAATACTTACTTAAAGCAAGTATTTATCATGTTTTAAATACCTGATTCTGTAGTAAATTTGAAACAGGAAAAAATTTACCTGTTTTAATAATGGCTTTGAACTCTTAGAAGTTTCATGTATTCAATAGCCATTGGATAATATGCAGGGAAAATATAAGTCTGTACATATGTGTATATACACACATATACACACATGTAGAAGCAATTGACATACTTTTTAGTGTGGGTTATGGCCAAGTTCAGGAGAATAGTTATATAACTTCATATTTCATGTTCATATTTCTGTATAATAAATTGCAAGTTAAAAGTAAGGATGTTTATAAAGTTTTATCCTTTTTTGTGGCAACATCATATTTTCACAGATATTTTAGAAAATCATTTGTGATTTAAAACTTATGCTTACTTTTCTACTATGACTCTTACATGTGTAGTTATTTTCAAATAAGTCATAAATGATATTTAAAATACCTTACTAAAACTGTATACTAGATATTTTAAAAATAGATTTAGAGTGATCATAAGTTTTAGTAACACTAAAATCCATTTGCTATGATAAATGTCACTCAGATGTGGAGAGCAGAACTCCTTAGTTTAAAAATAAAATAGTCTTAAGTGTTATAATTTTTATAATACATCACTGTATCAGAAACCACCACATTTGAACATAGTTTAAGCATTAAACATGGTAGTAATATCTTTCAGATGCACAAAGTACTTTACATGTAAATTTAGAAATGTTTATGAGACTTGCTGTGAGCCTGTTTTTAATACATATAAATTTTTTTAATTTAGACTAAGTATAAAAGCATTAAGATCAACTCTTCACCTACAAAGTTGTTTCAGTAAGACAGATAAACAGATGTGATACTCGGGATAACTAAAGTAGAGACAGTGCTGTTCTATAATTTCATACAGCTGACCCAACAGCAGAGATCATCAACTCCTATCTGAAGACTTTGGCCTCAGAGCTGCACTGCCATTCCGAGAGGTTTTCAGGGGTGGAGTTAGTAGTGGTGCAATGGTAACATTTTAAGAAGACTGTACTTTTAATGCTTCTGCATTCTAAGGTTTTGAAAATAAGCAGAATATTTACAGTCTTTAGATTTTTCACAAAGGATAGAAACATAAAGCTTTAGTTAAATAAATTTGTGAGTTATAAATATAATTTCATTTTTGTGCCACTGTGATTTTGTTACTTGATACGATTATATATATTCTATATTATTAGTCCACCATAAAGTAGAGTAGATACTGTGGGAGTCATAATCAACAAGTGTTAAATATCAAAGAAATAAAATTTCTGTAGACCAAATAGCTATATAAAATTCCTTAGCAGATACAATAAAAGCCTGTACTTTACTAACTTTATACTTCCCTTTATAAGATATAATACATATCCATTAAAGTGGTTTATATTTATATAAGAACCATAGTGGTATTTTTTTTCCTTTTGTTTCCCTAGGTGGTGCTGGGGATTAAACTCAGGCCAGGCAGTTGCTCTACCACTTGAGCCACACCCCAGTCCTTTTCCTTTTAGTTTGTTTTTCACATAGGATATTGAGCTTTTGCCTGGGCCTGGCCTCAGACTGGGATTCTCCCACCTCCACTCTGAGTAGCTGAGATTACCGGCTAAGCTTCTTAGTGAGATAGGGTCTCCCTAACTTTTGCCTGGGCTAGCCTTAAACTCTAATCTTCCTATCTGTGCCTCCCAGATAGCTGGAATTGCAGGTGTCCACCACTTCACCTGGCCCAGAAACATATTATTTTGCTTAGTAAAACTGTACTAAATCTCTTATAGGTGTGGTACATAGCCAACCCACTTTTTTTTTTTTTTTTTTTTAAGTTTTCAGTTAGTTTCCACTAAAATCTTTTTTTTTTCATTTTTCTTTTATTATTCATATTTGCATACAAGGCTTGGTTCATTTCTCCCCCCTGCCCCCACCCCCTCCCTTACCACCCACTCCCCCTCCCTCTCCCCCCAATACCCAGCAGAAACTATTTTGCCCTTATCTCTAATTTTGTTGTAGAGAGAGTATAAGCAATAATAGGAAGGAACAAGGGTTTTTGCTGGTTGAGATAAGGATAGCTATACAGGGCATTGACTCTCATTGATTTCCTGTGCGTGAGTGTTACCTTCTAGGTTAATTCTTTTTGATCTAACCTTTTCTCTAGTCCTGTCCCCTTTTCCTATTGGCCTCAGTTGCTTTAAGGTATCTGCTTTAGTTTCTCTGCGTTAAGGGCAACAAATGCTAGCTAGTTTTTTAGGTGTCTTACCTATCCTCACCCCTCCCTTGTGTGCTCTCGCTTTTATCATGTGCTCATAGTCCAATCTCCTTGTTGTGTTTGCCCTTGATCTAATGTCCACATATGAGGGAGAACATACGATTTTTGGTCTTTTGGGCCAGGCTAACCTCACTCAGAATGATGTTCTCCAATTCCATCCATTTACCAGCGAATGATAACATTTCGTTCTTCTTCATGGCTGCATAAAATTCCATTGTGTATAGATACCACATTTTCTTAATCCATTCGTCAGTGCTGGGGCATCTTGGCTGTTTCCATAACTTGGCTATTGTGAATAGTGCCGCAATAAACATGGATGTGCAGGTGCCTCTGGAGTAACAGTCTTTTGGGTACATCCCCAAGAGTGGTATTGCTGGATCAAATGGTAGATCGATGTCCAGGTTTTTAAGTAGCCTCCAAATTTTTTTCCAGAGTGGTTGTACTAGTCTACATTCCCACCAACAGTGTAAGAGGGTTCCTTTTTCCCCGCATCCTCGCCAACACCTGTTGTTGGTGGTGTTGCTGATGATGGCTATTCTAACAGGTGAGGTGGAATCTTAGTGTGGTTTTAATTTGCATTTCCTTTATTGCTAGAGATGCCAACCCACTTTTCTACTGTGACTTATACTGCCTGCCAATGTTAACGTGCACTGAAAGTATTTAAGTGACTATAATTCAATAGTATATCTTTATTTAAAATCTTTTTTTATTTTTTAGTTTTCATGAAAAATGACACTGGTAATCCCAACACTTCTTGTACTCTTTCCCATTTGTTTAGCTTGAACATGCGAAAATTACGCAGACAGAATTGATGCGTGAGTCATTTAGACAGAAACAAGAAGCAGCAGAGTCCCTCAAGTGCCAAGAAGAACTGCGAGAGCGCCTTCATGAGGAATCTCGGGCCAGAGAGCAGCTGGCTGTGGAGCTCAGCAAGGCTGAGGGTGAGCACCTGCCATTAGCAGCTGAAGAGTCCAGCATTTGAGTCTTAGCCTAGAGGTTCTGCTATTCCGACAGCTGTGGAGGCCACTAGTGTACTTTAGAGTGACTATGAAAATGTAGTGTAGAGTTCCTCCAAGCAATTTTTAAATTTTAAAATAAGAACACACATTTAGTTGTAAAAAGAGTTTATAGAATTTCAGAAAATACAGTAAAAATTTTAGAAAATACAAAAAAAATTGCATCTTTTAATTTAAAGATGAGAAAGCTAAAGCTAAAAGCTGTTATTAAGTAGTTAAGGTCTACATTAAGTGGTAACTGTATGCTTTAAACCCCTGAAGCCCCAGGTTTTTTTCATGCTGTGTGTCTGCTGACCTTCTAGAATTACTTAAAATGTCAACCTTCTCAAGTATATGTAAAATGGGATTCAACTCACAAACACCTGATTTATATTAAGCTTTCCAGTAACCTATCTTTTATTAAAGTGAGTTGCATATTCATGATGTGGTACTTTAGTATAGGAAAGTTTAGAGAAAGTTTATATATATGCACAGTGGTAAATAAGAAAGTCTGTGTTGAACATACCATGGTAAAGGTTAAGAGTAGCTGCTGTCAGTAGCAATTCATTCAAACTTTTAATAGTTTGGAATGGTTTAAAGTTTTGCTTACAGAATATTAATATGAAAGCCCAATGGCAAATTTAAATGAGTAGTAATTCCATTTCCTGTCGATTCTTAACAGGTGCCATCGATGGCTACACAGATGAGAAAACTCTTTTTGAAAGGCAAATTCAGGAAAAAACTGATATAATAGATCGACTTGAGCAGGAATTGTTATGTGCAGGTAATAGATTGCAAGAATTAGAAGCAGAACAACAGCAGATCCAAGAAGAAAGAGAGTTACTAACCAGACAGAAGGAGGCTATGAAAGCGGAGGCAGGCCCAGTTGAACAGCGTATGTATTTTCAGACTTTGTATGATACATTCCTCTTTTTGCTTCAAAATTACTTTGTTCTCCTCTTTCAGTGCCATTATTCATACATTTTATATAGGGACTTGAAAAATTATAAGAAAATTAACCTTGTGTACACAGATGAATTGCCATTCATGTGCAATCAGGATTTTTTTTTCCTTTTACATTTGATAAATGTTACCAGGAAAGGATAGTTTTTTATTTATCCTCAAACCTCTGCCTCAAATAATGAGGCAGAATATTTTGTAAACTGTGTAAAGTTTAGTTCTTTTAATAGAAGAGTGGTACCAAAAATATATTGTTGGGTTAAGTGATTAAGAACAGTTTTCTGGTACAAGTAGTAGATGTGGGGGAACTTGAGCTCCCAAGCAGAACAGATTGGAAAGGTCACTTGCTGCTAGTAGCAGACTGACATCTAGCTTAATCTAGGACAAGTGCAAAGAGTATTTCAATTTACAAGGTAGAAATTAAGTAACATCTTAATGCTTATTTAGCAATAAATGTCAGTCTTTTTAATGATGGAACTTTAAATCCTGTTTATCTTGATCTCTTAATTTTATATATTAAACATAGTTGGAATTACAAATGTATAGTTTCTCTACACATTTCTATCTATTTAGAAATACAGCACACGTTTTTGTCATGGTGAAGCTTCTTTCTGGAGCTCAAATTAGTTCAGCAGAGGTTTAGGGCTGGAATTTTTAATGTGGAAAGAACACATATAAAATGTTTGCTATACACTGTAACTTCTCAACATGTCACCAGTGATAATAGTCAGAGGCTTCAACTTGTGCACATGTGTCATATTATTTTAGGAAATAGAAGATGTATAATTACATGCTTGTTGTTTTTGTTTGTTTGTTCTTCCTGTTTTCATAGGACCAGTAGATGCTGCAGTTGCTGCAGCACCTGGAGCAGGTGTGTGTGCATAATTGCATGGACTACTTTTGGGTGGTAGATTTAACTCAAAATTGAGTGACCCTTGGATTTTCAACCAACTAACATGTCTAATTTTTCAGTTTTGCTATTGTGTTCCATGCTTACAGTTTTTCACTTTCACAGCTCAACTTACTTTACAATAGAAATATATATTTCTATTTGAAATTAACAATTGGTGTTCATAGAGCTTAAAACTGTTTCGGTTTTTCAAAGAAAATGTTTATTTAAAATTTTTTTTTCATAGACTTTTCAGAGTGCTCCATCTAAATCAGGAAGTTTATGAGGTGATGATAGCTAAAGGATACATGAAATTTAGTAAGAGGGCTGGGCACCCGTGGCTGACACCTATAATCTTTGCTTCTCAGAAAGCAGAAATCAGGAGGATCACGGTTCAAGGCCAGCCCAGGGAAATAATTCAGGAGGCCCTATGTCAAAAACACATAGCACACACAAAAAAAATTACTTATAACATGAGTCCCTGAGTTCAAACCCCAGTACCACCAAAAGAAGGGGAGGACGGGCTTTCCCTGATCTAAGGGTGTGGGGGGTGACTGACTCCAAATAAAGGCAATTAAAAATTTTAGTAAGAGGCTTCTAGTTAGTATACTTCTACATTAACATCTAATATCAACATTGCTCTAAAAAGGAATGATGTTTTCTGTAGATTCTCAGTCCTGAGTACAGTATTGGCACATCAATTAGTATAAAAATTCTAGTGATCCTTTCTTTCCATTTTCTTTATTAGAGGTTTGTTTTACTTTTATAAAGTATATGTACTTTATAATTGTATTAATAGTAACTAATACTTACCATACCCACTGTTCTTTATTTATTTTAAGTCATTTGATTCCCAAATGTAAGAAATAAGTAAAGATGTTATTCCCATTTTACTTATGAGGAAACTGAAGACTATCACATTAAATGTCACACAGGAGAGACATGGTATAGCTAGGATTCGAACCCATAGTCTGCTCTTAAGTACTAACGGCACTGCCTTTTATATGTGTGAGCATGCAGAAGCAACTCAGGAATATGGATCTAATAAGGACCGAGACTCACAGAAGTTTTGTTTATAGTTGTAGGGAGGTTTTTTTGGTAACTTTTACTTGCCTTGGTTAAAGATTTACATTATTTGATCTTTGTGTGTATTGTATATGCATATAAAACTGACTTAAATGAATTTGGAATGATTTTGCCTGGGTAAAGAAAATGGTGAGTTTTTTCTGTTTGAATTTAATCAACCTTTGTTCCTTTTCTAATACAGTAGATTATTTTGTTATTTATTATATTGTTTTTTAAAAATATTTTTGTGACAAGGATGTATTTGTTAATTCTGCATAATTTTATTACTACTGTCTTAATTATGTAGGAAGGAGTAAGATATTTTGATTGTTTCATAAAAGAATATTTACCTTTTTATGAGTATTTAAAATAATTCTCAGCTTTTATTTAATGAATATAAATTTAAATGTAGCTATGGGTGATTTCATTGTCATATCATTACTTATGATTTAACTATGTATACTTTCACATTTTTTAACAGAATTACTACAGGAGACAGAAAAACTAATGAAGGAAAAGCTAGAAGTACAGTGTCAAGCTGAAAAAGTACGTGATGATCTTCAGAAACAAGTGAAAGCTCTAGAAGTAGATGTTGAGGAACAAGTCAGTAGGTTTATTGAGCTGGAACAAGAAAAAAATGCTGAATTAATGGACTTAAGACAGCAAAACCAAGCACTGGAAAAGCAGTTAGAAAAAATGAGAAAATTTTTAGATGTAAGTAATTCTCTGTTTTAATACTGATTTTTCTCAATGGAATGCTACTCGCTACTAATCTAGGCTGTATACTTGAAAGTAAATTTAAATTAATTTAATTTAATCAATTTAATTTAAATTAAATTGACTTTTAAATTAGTATTTTCACCTATATGCACATTCTACCAAAATTTTTATTGTGCAGCAGTCAAAATTAAAAGTAGTATACTCTGGCCATAGCCATGTATGCCTGTAATCCCAGTTCTCAAGATTAGGCAGAAGGATGCAGAGGATCATAAATTCAAGGCCACCTGGGCTACCTAGTAAGTCCCTGTCTCAAAATAATTAATTTAAGTAAAATAAAATTGTAGTACATCTAGGACTGGGGTTTTAACTTAGTGACAGAGCCCATTTTTAGCATTCGTCTGGCTCTGGGTTCAATCCTTAGGCCCTCCCCTCCACCCCGAAAAAAAATCAGTAGTATATATAGCTTGTTTTATAAGTCCAACCAGTTATCGTTCCCAAGTTCAGAGTTTAGCTTATCCTACTCTTTCATTTAACAAATAGCAAAATGAGGCAGCAAAATGAGGCAGTAATTCCAAGAGCTCATTGAGCATGGCTCCTTCCCCCTCAAAAGATACATACAGGTAACAGTGGGGCACTCAGAATCAGGACTGGAACCTTTGTCCTGCGGCCTTCACTCTCTTCCAAAAAGTTGCTAAACTTACTGTTTAACATGGATTTTCTTGTTCGCATATCTGAGAATCAGTCTTGCACATTTTATCATTTTTATATTTAAAATTTAGGATTAAAAAATTGATTTACCAACTTGTTTACTTACTTTGTTTAATGACTACATTAGCAGAATTGCTCCTCTGTACAAAAAGGTGACTTCATTTTAAGAAGAATTTTTGTGTTGCATTTAAAATACTACTTGAATAAAAAACTGTACTTCAAATAATTTTTAAATACTAAATTTTTCATTGAAGAGGCAAAATAGGCTATGTACCATACCACAAAAACAAAACAAAACAAAACAATAGTTATCTTTTTAAAGCTTTGTGGTTTAGGGTATTCTATAGTCAGCAGTTCTTTATCTTCAAACCAAACTAAGCTGTAACTAAAGGGATATAAAGGAAATAATAGGTTCAGTAAATATTGCTTCTCCAGTTAATATTATTACTATTAAATTTCAGGAGCAAGCCATTGATAGAGAACATGAGAGGGATGTATTCCAACAGGAAATACAGAAACTAGAGCAGCAACTTAAGGTCATACCTCGACTCCAGCCTGTCAGTGAACATCAAACTAGAGAGGTAAGAACACTTACTAATATTACCTACCTCATATTAATTTGTATCTTGAGTGTAACATAGGAAACATGAAAAATTTAAATACTTTCTATTGTATACAAATTGTAATAATCAGAAAATTAAATATGAGGAGATCATTAATCCTAAAAATTATTTGTATTGAAATTTGGAATCATTCCCATCTATATCTAGTATTACCCAATTAAATAAACTTCTCTATCCCCATTGCCCCAAGAAACTGATCAAGAGAGTTATCTGTATCAGTCCTTACAACCCTATATCCCATTCTCTTCCGAATCCACTCCAGTGAGGTTTCCAGTGCCTCCATCTTGGGGTTTAGTACCCTCTGATCTATTTAAACTGACCTTGGAAAGGTTATCCAGAGCTTCATGGGTATATCCAATAATATCTCTACTTCATCTGCTCAGAGACATTCATTACAGTCTTCTTCTGGGAACACTCCCTTCTCTTGACTTCTGTGATACACCTATTCCACTGGTCTCTCTCCTCTAACATTTGTTTCTTCTCTGTTTGCCTAAAATAAGTAATGTAGCACTCCACAACTTAGTCTTCAGCCCCTTTTTCTTCCATGTATATATTCTCTTCACAGGCAATCATAGGTCAATGAGTCCTCATTTTTACCTTCATTGCTGACATTTCTGTGGAACTTCATACTTGTATATTCTACTGTCTACTCTGTCTCTACTCAGATGTCTCAAGGTTAACATGTCCAAAAGAAAATTGTTATGTTTTCTACACCTTCCTCATTGCTGAGACCTCGAATTCTTACTCAGCCCTGCTTACTACTCATTGATGGGTCAGATTTGTACTGCATCTTTCTATTCTTTCCACCTTCATTCATTTCACTACATCCTAGTTCTCATCTTTATTTGTCTGAAAAGTTGTAGTATGCTCTTAAAAAGTCTGTTTCTCCATTTTCACTCATGACTGCAATCTCAGCTCCTTGGGAGATGATGAAAACAACCTACTATCATGGTTCCCTCAGTAACCATCTCATGATCAGCCCTGATGCTGTGGACTCCTTCCTCACCCCTATCCCCAGGAAGCTGTTCCTAACAGTAGTTAGGGAGATTATTGAGAGGGGGACTTGAAGGGCAGATCGCAGGAGGTCCATGTATTCCCAAAAGATGTCAATTAGCCAGGGGAAAAAACGCCCTTTCTCCTTCCCATGAAACATCTATTCACACCAAGGAGACACTTCTCCTTTGACATTATCCACACCAAAATCTCCACCCTTGGGCAATAAAGATATAAAACCCAATTTCCAATCAGACCTAAGGGACCACTGGTTTCCAGGTCCCTCTGCATGACCCCCATGTGCCCTTTCCTTTCTCTTCTCTGCAAATAAAACCTTTTTGACCTTTGCTGCTCGAATCCGCCTTTGATTTCCATCTAAGAGCAGACCAAGGACCCTTACCAGCTCCCTTGCATATCAAGATCAGGAGGATAATAGTTTGAAGCTAGCCCAGGCAGAAGTGAGTGAGACTCCATCTCAACCAACAAGCTGGGAATGGTGGATCACTTTATAATCCCAGCTGTGCAGGAGGCATAGGTAGAAGAATCACAAACTGTGGCCTACCCTGAGCAAAAATGTGAAATCCTATCTAAATAAATGAGGGAGGGAAGGGAAGAAAAGAAAAAAGGGTTAAGATGTGGCTAGCCTGCAGGGTGATCTACCTAGCAAATGCAAGGCCCTGAAGTTCAAATCCCAGTACCACCAAAAAAAAGAGAGAGAGATTGTGTCTGGGGCAAGGCAAACCTAGTTTGGATCATGGTGCTGCTATTTACTAGGTATTTAACAATAACTGAGTCACCTAGCTGTCAAACCTCTATTTCTAAAATCGATACAGGAATAGTTCCCACTTTATAGGAGTATTGGCATGGCCCATAGTGAACACTTTAATGTATTGTTTCTGAAAATAATTTTTATTTTTTAAACTAATTTGTAATTTCTGCGCATTTTAGTAGGCTAAACATATACCTAAGAAATATAAAATGCTATATACTACACCAGACGCCGGTGGCTCACACCTGTAATCCTAGCTATTCAGAAGGTAGAGATCAGGAAGATTGTGGTTCGAAGCCATCATAGGCAAATACTTTGCAAGACCCTATCTCAAAAATACCCATCATAAAAAAAAAGGTGGGGGGCTGGCAGAGTGACTCAAGGTGTAGGCCCTGAGTTCAAATCCCAGTATCTCAAAAAAGGGGAGAGATAAATAATATAAAACAAAATGCTATAAACTACTCAGTCCCCACAGTTTATAGCTATTCCTAACAAAGGTGTTTTCAGCTTTAAAAAAAAATAGTGATTTGTTTGTTGAAACTCAAAAGATTATTTTACTTGCTTTGTTGCCCTTTTTTCTCAGCTTTACTCTGAATCAATCTCTTTTTGCTAAAGCCTTTCCTCAAGAGCACTATTGCTGTCAGCCTTGAGCAGTTTTGAATTCTGAGGGATATTTGGTATTTGGGGTTAATATTCTCAAAATATTTCACTAAAAAAAGTCATATTCCTTTATTTCTTACCATCACATATTTTGGGGGGAAACTTTTTTCTCCTCACTTGATGAGAACTAATTTCATAAACTGTCTTACTGACCTTTCTTACACTCTTGGGTCACAGAGCCATTCACTGGAAGGGATCTGCGTGTCAGTCTTAGGGGATAAGTCTCACTTCATCCTTTATTTTGGTTAGAGGAGAAGCCAAGACTAGCAACACTTAGAGGACTTATAAGGTATACACACCTCTTCACCACCTATCCTCATTCTGGCTTGGTAGAATATATAAAGTGAAAAAGCTTTCCAAATAACTGTTACCAAAATGTAATCCATAAGACAGTCTTTTTAAAAGGTCACCTTATCTCAAATAAGAGTAAGTCAGTGACTCTGCAAATTTGTCATCTTTGGTAAGTCATTAGGTCCTGCTGTGGTTGTGCTGTTAGGTAACTCAACATTACTCAAAGTGAATTTTCTCCTCTTCCTAACTGGAGAAAGTCTTAGCTTTAAGAGAAATAATTTTTTAAAGCAAGGTTACTGAATGCAATATTACTTCTTTTTTACTAATACTGTCTAGTTTTAATCTGAAAAATGTCACCTTTGGTGGAGACAGTAGTGTCTATTCTTATTAAAAATGAAGTTTTTGCATAGTGCTTTAAAAAACTTTTTGAAGAGAAGTACTTTTGTGTATGTGTCTGTGTGTGGTGCTAGGATTAAACCTGGAACTTTGTACATGCTGGGCAAGTACTCTGCTACTGAGCTACATCCCCAGCCCTAAAAGAAAAAAAAAAACTTTATTAAATGAAGATAAATATGATTTATAGGTAGAAGCTTCCTAAATTTAAAACAAAAATTGCTTATCATATTTTTAGGTTGAACAGTTAACAAATCATCTAAAAGAAAAAACAGACAAATGCAGTGAACTTTTGTTGTCGAAAGAACAGCTTCAGAGAGATGTACAAGAGCGGAATGAAGAAATTGAGAAATTGGAGTTCAGAGTAAGAGAACTGGAGCAAGCCTTACTTGTTAGCACGGACACATTTCAAAAGGTGTGACGATTTATTTGAGTTAACTTTATCAGCAGCTTTAATGAAGATCATTCTTAGTTGCACAAACATCAGTTCTTTTAAAAAGATTGTATTGGCTTATCAATGTTAGTATGTAATGTATCTTTATGTCTTTTACTTCAGAACCATTTTTATTTTACATACAAACATTGCTTGCATACTTTAGTCCTGATAAAGGAAAATTAGTTAAATCGTAAGAGTTAATTACCTTTTAACCATCAATAAAGCTAGGTAGAAAACAGACACCAACTTAGGCTTATGCTTTACCCCAAAATAATTTGTAGTAAAACCATCCCCATTAATGAAAATTGCATTTAGTTTTTGAATATTGGGAATTTTGTGACTATACATCAATGTAAGTTTTCTCTTCTAACCAGAGAAATACAATTTCTGGTTGTTAAAACACGCACACACAATGGATAATCAGAATGTAATGGCTAAAATTTTGAGAAGATTCTTATGTATTTAAAGGTAGAGGATCGAAAACAATTTGGAGCTGTAGAAGCTAAAGCAGAATTATCTCTAGAAGTACAGTTGCAGGCTGAGCGAGATGCAATAGACAGAAAGGAAAAAGAGGTGAGTTTATTTTTAAATGACGAAATGTGGTTTGAATTATTTTAAATCGGTTATCTTGACAGGATCATTTGAAGATTGAAGTTTATAGTCTAAAACTAAAGTTAGACTATTTCTTAGTTCGGTGACTAAGTTTACATTAAAGATAATAAGCGTGAACAAATAAGTTGATGTAAGAAAGAGTGTTCCATGTGGAGAAGATAACCAGTGTGAAAGCTTGAAGCTAGAAAAAATTTAGAGGAGGGGGAAAAAGACCAATTTAGCAGATATGGTCTGATTGAAGAGGACAGGAAAGAGTGATGGTGTTAGGACAAAAGATAGTATTTCTCTTTTGTCCTATTCATTCCATAGACATTGAGTTATTTTGCTACTCGGGTTTGGGTTTTTTGTTTTTATTTAAACTGTTGCCGTGGAAGATAATAGTACTGTTTTACAATATGTGAAGCATATTCTTAAAATAAATGATTAACAATAAAGTGACTAGGGCTGAGAATGTAACTCAGTGTTAGAGCACTTGCCTAGCATTTACGGGCCCTAGGTTCAATTCCCCAACACTGCAAAAAATAAAAAATAATAAAATAACTGTATAAATTTTCCTATGTTTCTGTGTTCCACCTTGGCACAGAGGTATGGGCCTGTATCCCCATCTGCTCCCACAGCTAAGGCAGTAGAATTGCTTCAGCCCAAGAGTTTGAATTCAAGACAATGTAACAAGATCCTGTTTCAAAAGAATAAATATCTACTTTTAGAACAATAGTAATCTCAACTTCTAAATCATGTATAACTTATTTAAGCCTTTGTCTGCTAATAGTTTTCCTAAAAGATAATATAATCTATATTATCTAATGATACTGATATCTTTTTAAATGTTTTAAGTTATTTTTTGTTTCCATATAATTTTCTCAGGGCATTTAAGTATATACAAATATTGTTGGACTTAGAAGTATTAATAAGTACTTTGAAAACGACAAGAATAATTTAGACATCAGCTAAAAAAAGTACAGCTCAGAGAATTTGTAGTTTAGAAGAAGAAAAAAAGGTGTCTTTTCAAATGACTGTAGTTTATACCATTTCGTGAGGATGATTTTCTTTTTACCAATCATGTAATACTGAGTAATGTTTACCTGAGTGGCTCTTGTTTATTTTGTGTTTTGTTTTTATTGAAACAGAAAACACATTTGTTTATATGTAACCACTTCTATTTATTTGCAAAGAATTGATGTTTAAAGATTGCTCTTGGGCTAGGGGAATGGCTTAAGTGGTAGAGCACCTCCCTAGCAAGCACAAGGCCACAATACCATCAAAACAAAAACCAAAAGATTTCTCTTACATTAAATATGGAAATGATCTCTTCCCCAAAACATGAACCTTAAAAACTGGATCCAAAAGCAGTGGTAATTGATTATGGATAATTGTTTAAGCTTACTAGCTTTCATTTTTTGTTTTTGTTTTCTCCCTGTTGCTCAGGATTAGAGTCAGAACCACACATAAGCTCTACCACTGAGCTATATCTTCAACTCTGATTATGTATAGTTATACACACATGTTTTTTTATGCTTTGTATGGGGTCTTACTATGTTGCCTAGGCTGACCCTGAACACCTAGGCTCTGGTAACCCTTCTGCTCCCGCCTCTCTGTATGGAACAGTTGTCTTGGATGGCCACACACACAGTTTTACGGCGCACACACACACACACACACACAGCGAGTCAGCGTGTGGTCATGTAGAAGTTGATGGCTCGAGGAAGCGCAGGTGATCGGATGTCGGCATGGGTATGTAAACATGAAATGAGAAAAATCCTTGTTGCTGGCAACAGGCATCCAACACCATGACCCACTATTTTTATTATTTTGAATATAGTATAGCTTACTAACACCTTAATTTCTTGAATTAGTTATCTATTAAGTGTCTACCTTTTACTCAGAAACAAAATCATTTATAACTACAAGAAACCTGAGAGAGTATTTATCAGTGAACTCCCAGTTTTTAACAGATGACACAGGTTCAGAGATGTTGAGTGAGTTAAACTGACAGCTGACTCTCATCTACTAGTTTTTAATAACAGTAACAAGTATTCTGTCAGAACTACTCACTTACCTGTAACTGGAGAATAAGAGGCAGGAAAATAGAATTAAAACATGTCTTTTAATAAAAAAAAAAAAAGTTAAGCATTCTCTCCAAAAACTAAATATTTTCAGATATATATGTCTATATGTATCATTATATTTGAGTTACCTTCAAATACTCTCAGAGCCTAAATTTGTAAAAAAAAAAAAAAAAAAAAACACATTTTTGGGGGTTGGGTGGGACTGGGATTTGAACTGAGGGCTTTGCAAAGCAGGTACTGTACTACCTGAGCCGTGCCTCTAATCCATTTTGCTTTGGTTATTTTGTGAAGATGGGGTCTCAAAAACTGTTTGCACAGGCTGGCCCCAAAACCATGATCCTCCTGATCTCAACCTCTCAAGTAGCTAGGGATCACAAGTATGGGCCACGGGTGCCTGGCCACAAAAACATATTTTAAGATTTGTTAAGCTATTCAGGATGGATAGAAAGAAACTAAGAATTTCAGAATTACAGAAGAGAGGCAATAATATAAAGAAAAGTAGGTTTTCTTTTAGAAAAAGATTCCTTCAATAAGTTTTAGCTCTCTGTAGAGCTGATGAGTTCTAGCTTATAGATGGCAGTAATAAATAATAATTAACTTTGTTGAGGACTGAGTGCTAGAAAGTGCTAAGTATTTTAAGTGCCTTACACCATTAATCCTTACACTATCCTTGGAAACAGGCTTCATTATCTCCATTTTGCCAATATATAAACTTAAGTGTTAAGAGAGTTGATGCTTAGCACAAAACAAGAATTCTCCCAGGTTTTGTTAATGCTTGAGCCCTTATGATATTATACTACAAAGCATTAGGGCATACTTTGGTAGTTGGTGAGAAGTGTTAAAGACTGTAATTCAACATTAATTGAACCCTTGCTGCATGTAAAGCACCTCTATCCAATTGCAAAATCAACACCGGATTTCAAGGAATGCTATCTAATGAGATACATGTGTATATTTGAAAGAGCTAAAATACTTTAAAAAAAACAAATAGGTGCAAATTATTGTAATCCAAAATAGTCTAACTATCAGTTAATAGATACATGAATGAAGATTAGAACAAGTTTAAACCTTTATAAGTTCTTCTGTCTTGGTCTTTGGGAGCTTTGTAGTAAGACAGTCTGGGCCAGGCACAGTGGCTCATGCCTGTAATCCTATATACGTTGGAGGTGCACATAGGGAGGATCACAGTTCAAGGTCAGCCTGTGCAAATTAGCAAGGGACTCCCCTCCCCCCCAATCTCCACCAATAAAAGCTGGGTATGGTGTTGAGGGCCTGTCATCCCAGCTATGTGGGTCTAGGCTAGCCAGACATAAACTCAAGACCCTATTCAAAAACTAACTTAAAGCATAAAAGGGCTGTGAGTGTGGCTCTAGTGGCAGAGTGCCTGCCTAGCAAGCACAAGACCCTGAGTTTGAACCCCAGTACTCCCACCCCCAAAAAAGTATGGGCCTTTAAAAATTGTGAAAAAGAAAAAGAGGGGTATGAGAGAGTAGTGGGGGTGAATTCCATCAAAGTATATTATACGCATGTGTAGAAATATCACAATGAAATCCCCCCTTTGTACAATCAATATAAAGCAATTAAAAAAAAAAGCCTTGGACTGAAACTAAAGTGGCTAAATAAGAAGAAAGAATGTTCCATAGTGTCATTTGGAAGGATTAAATTCTCTAACATGATGTTCAAGCAACTACTTAAAATGTTAGTGATTTAGACCAGTGCTTCTCAAACTTTAATGGCCTCTGAATCACCTGGGGATATTGTTAAAATGCAAGTCTTGAGTGTTGCATGAGATTCTGCACATCTGTCATGCTTCCACATGGTGCCAGTTCTGCTGCTCCAGAGAACACACTCTGAGTACCAAGGCTCTAGATCACAGAGCCTTGAATTGACTATAAACTGATGCATCAAAAAAAGAACGTAAATGTCATGTGAGCTAGGGCAGTAATTTTGAACTTAAGTAACTACATGTGTGTTTTATAATGCCTTATCTTTGAGGTGTAAGTACTATTAGATGACTGAAGAACGTATAATCATCATAGCTTTCATCAGATAACCTGATAATTATGTATGCACAACCACTAAATGTATTTGTGTCTGCAGAGTTTAATAGCAGTGTTACAAAAAAAATTTAGATGTGTTAGGCATTAGTTATTAGAAACAAAATAAATAATACTTTATAATGGAAGGTTCCAGAGGTAAACTCCCCAGCTTCAAAAGGTGGCTTCCCTACATACTAATCATGTGATCTCAGGACAAGTTAGTCTTCTTTATGACTCGCTTCTTTATCTTTAAAAAAGAGGATAATCACAGAATAGATCTTAAGAGTTTGTTACACTTTTTAAAAAAATAATAATACATGCAAAGCATTTTGTATAGTGCCTAGCAATAAACTGTCTATAAATGGGGGCTGTTATCACTAGTTTTGATACTTTTTCTGTTTAATAAATATTAGGCTGATTTTTAAGGTCTTGCCAGAGCTAACATAATTCTAATTTCCGTGATGTGTCAATGTGTAAGCAGCCTATGCCCCTTTCCAGTTTATAATGCACTAAAAGATTTATAGATTACTCTAACCAGCTGCCACTGTATGCTACTCCTGCATGTTAGGTGGTTTTTAATGCAGCAGTTTTGATCATCAAATAATTACACATTTGGAAATTTGTTCATTGAACATTTATTCAGTAATTACAGAGCAGTGAGCTAAATGACTATTGGTCCTCAGTCAAAACTACTTTTAGTTTTATAATAATACCTAGTCATTAGGTTCACTTTCTATATAACTATTGAGCACAGTTGTTTTACTATTTATTGCTGATAATCTGTCTTCAGAAAATAGCTAAATTTCTATCATCCTACTATATAATAGGACGATAGAAAGGTCTCTATTATTCAGATCTGGCATCTCCTGGTCTGCTTCCTTCTACTTAGGCAAACCACAAAGCATCCAGACCTTTTCATTGAGTTAATTTGATATTCATGGACTAAATTGAGCTAGTCTTACATGGTGCTGAAATAACTGACTGAATTCTACAGCTTTTTTGAGCTTTTTGATATCAACTAAATTTAACATATATTGTGGTTTAGTATATAGACTCCTCCTTTCTCCCATGACTTTTTTTATGCTTCATCAGAAAATATTTTAGGTAGGAAATAGCAACTTTTGTTCTTCCTTAAGTTCTCCTATCTGCTTGGGGCAGAATAATTTATAAGGATGCAATTTGAGCATATCTAGGAATTACACATTACACCTGACTTAGTAAATCACTTTTCTTTACACCCATGGTTTACATATTTTAAGCATATATTTGTGAAACAAATATAGCACTCTTCTTCTGTCTTGACAAAAAAAATTGTATAAACAGTGTTTTTCTTTTGATAATTTTGATATTAAAGATTACAAACTTAGAAGAACAGTTAGAGCAGTTTAGAGAAGAACTGGAAAATAAGAGTGAAGAGGTTCAGCAACTACATATGCAATTAGAGATACAGAAGAAGGAGTCTGCTGCCCGCTTGCAGGAACTTGGACAAGAGAACAAGTTACTGAAGGTAATCAGTTTAGAAAAGCTTTTGGCTGTGAATTGGTTTTTGGTCTTTTGTAGCTTTACCAAGTATTTGCTGAATCCAGCTGTTAAGTAATATTAACAGAGGAATATTAATAGGCAAATAGATTTGCATGAAACTTACTTTCTGTTTAACCTAAATATTACAATTCATCATAAATGAAAAATTTTTAATTCTTTATCAAAATATTTTAAGAATTGCTGAAATGCAGTATCTATTTTTTTTTCATTTGCCCATCAGAGGCTGTATGTCTTTTATAAAACTTAATTGAAAATATGTTCTGAAAATGACATGTAATAACATATCCAACCACGACAATTATTTTTTTCCCTAGAATGAAATGGAAAGACTGAGATTTGCCACAAAGGAATCTGATGCTATCTCTACTCAGGACCAACATGAGCTATTTGGAAAATTTACCCAGATAATACAAGAAAAAGAGGTAGAAACTGACCAGTTAAATGAGCAAATTATAAAACTTCAGCAGCAACTTAAACTTACAACAGAAAACAAGGTATAACTCACTTAAAATTGATTTTTACCTGAAATTACTGTGTGCTAGAATTTTAAAGCACAAAATGGTGATAATTTTCACTTTCCCATTGAATTTAAAAGTCGAATTTTAATTCTTTCTTACCCATTAATTTTACTTTATTAAGAAATAATGTGGCCAGACATGGTGACTCATGCCTGCAGTTACTCAGAAAGCGGAGATCAGGAGGATCACAGTTCTAGAGCAGCCTAGGGAAAAAAGTTCACAAGACAACAGCTGAACTAATAAACTGGGCATGGTAGCTCACATCTGTCATCTCAGCCATGCAGGAAGCATAAATAGGATTGTGGTCCAGGCCAACCTAGGCATAAAAATATGAAACCCTATTTGAAAAATAAAAGCAATAAGAGCTGGAGGCATGACCCAAATGGCAAAGTACCTGCCTAGCAAGCACAAGGCCCTGAGTTCAGATCCCACTACCACCAGAAAATTAATTTAAAAACTAAATAAATGATGGCAATGTTTAACAAGCTATATGTATCTTTGACTCCTCCTAATATTTTCAGAAGGTGGTTTTATTTTTTTAGGGACACTCTGTGTCTTGTTTCATCATATCATTCTAACTAAATGTATTAAAAATTCTTCTATTTAAGAGTTGAATGGTATAATTACCTGTGAGTGCCATTTGTTATAAACATTATTTCAATGCTTCACCCCATTTTTTGTACTAGGATTTGAAGTCAGGGCCTCAAGCTTGGTAGACATGCATTCTACCACTTGAGCCACCACCCCACCAGCCCTTTTGTAGGTATTTTCTAGATATGGGTCTTGAACTATTTGCTGTTGCTGGCTTCTAAATGTGATCCTCTTTACCTCTGCCTCCTGAGTAGCAAGGATTACAGGCATGAACTACTAGCTCAGTATTTTATCTTTTCTAATAGAATGTAATGATATGGACTGTTTTCCTAATAGAAATCAATTACTAAAAGCATAAACTACTTTACACTTAACAGATCTTCCAGAATGAAATCCTAAATAAGGTTCCTGTTTGATATGATAAAGGAGGTGGTGGTCTATATTGAAAGTAGCATAGTGTGTGTGTGAAATATATTGTTTTTTTGTGCTTGATCATCTCTTTTAAAATCTGTTTAAGGTCCTGCCCTAAAATAAAATTTCCAAAATATAAATACATATATATTAGGTGTGTTTCCTTCTTTCATTTATAGGTCGTTGAAGAAAAAAATGAACTTATTAGGGATCTTGAAACCCAAATAGAGTGTTTGATGAGTGATCAAGAACGTATGAAGAAAAATAAAGAAGAAGAAATAGAACAGCTCAATGAAGTGATTGAAAAACTTCAACAGGAATTGGCCAATATTGAGCAGAAGACATCAGTGGATGCTGATTCCTTCCCAGAAGAAGCAGACAGTTTAAAACATCAATTGGATAAGGTTATAGCTGAAAAGCTGGCTTTGGAACAGCAAGTAGAAACCACTAATGAAGAAATGGCCTTCACAAAAAGTGAACTTAAAGAAACCAATTTAAAAATGAACCAGCTAACACAAGAATTATGCAGCTTAAAGAAAGAATGTGAAAATAAGGAAAAAGTCCAAAGTATACCTGAAGAAAGTGTTAACTTGGCTGTAGATGACCTCAACAAAGACAAATCTGAAATGGAAGAAGTAGTCCTTACTGAGGATGCTCTTAAACCCCTAGAAAATCAGCCTTACCTCAGATCCTTTAGAGAAAGCACCAAAGTTTCCACGAGAAGTTTGGAAACAAAATTGCTGCAACTTGAGAGCTCTATTAGTACAAAGGACTTAGAACTTATCCAGTGTTATAAACAAATAAAAGACATGCAAGAGCAAGGCCAATCTGAAACAGACATGCTTCAAAAAAAGATTGTAAACCTACAGAAAATACTTGAGGAAAAAGTAGCTGCTGCTCTTGTAAGTCAAGTCCAACTTGAGGCAGTTCAGGAATATGTGAAGTTCTATAAAGATAAACAAGCAGTTTTGCCAGAACCTGAAAGGATACATACACAGAACTTAAATCAACTCACCGAAAACAATATGGAGTCTGATGTGTCCTCATTAACCTTGAGAATATCAGAACTAGAAAGACAAGTGGTTGAAATGCATGCTAGTTTGGTTTTGGAAAAAGAACAAGTAGAAATTGCAGAGAAAACTGCTTTGGAAAAAGAAAAGAAGCTGCTAGAACTACAGAAGCTATTGGAGGATAGTAAGAAAAAGCAGGAAGGGAAAGAAAGGCTAAGCGGTCCTCAAGGAGATTTTGAAATTCTCAAGGTTAGTTTCATACATGATTTATTTTTACCTAAATACCTTAGGAAACTGTTTTTCCTTTGTTCATTAAGCTGATTGCTAACTTAACAGTTTATTTGAACAAAGTATGATTCGTGAATTATGCAGCACTCAGAGCCAGTAGAGATTCAAAAAGTTCCATTCTATATCAGCAGGCGGTGAGTATTTATAGACAGAAGTCCCAAGTAAAGTACAGAAAATCGCTTGATTGGTTACATCTAGGCCTTACTTGAACATAATCTGATTGTTTGGTTGCCTATGATTTGCTGAAGCATGGCTGCATGTGATTGGCTGAGACTTGGCTGATTATTATACTCCTAAATTAGATTATCAGTTTGCATACTTAAGTTACATTCCAGTTCTTCACATAGGAACTCCAGATACAGCAGGCCAAATTTAATTTAACAGTCTGCAGTCATATTATTATTCCTAGAATAATGTATACAAATTACATTTTGTGGTCTTCAAACATGGTATTTTTTCCATTAGCCAAGCCATTAATTACAGCATTCAGAAACATTAAGTTTAGCAAATGTCCTTGAGGACTTGTGGGGGTTTTTTTCCCTTTAATCTCTTTCTAATATGCATGTATGTCATCATTCCTTTTAAGTAATGAAAAATATCATGACATATTAGTAATCTACTGAATTAATGTGTCAAGTCATAGCTTTTATAAATTTTATGCCTGATAATAGATTTCATCCTTCTTAGGAAAAAATTTGTGTTTGACCTCTATAAGTCTGCTTTTGTAAATACCTGAAATCATAGTTATTTTTAGTGTATGACAAATATGACAAAGACTTTTTTCCCTTTAAATTCTCACTTTATAAATTTACAATTTTGACTAGTGAATGTGCAATGTTATGTGACCATCAGATTAATTGATATATCAGGATATTATAATATAATGTTACAAAGAATAATCCCACAGGCTTTTTCCCTCTAGCTCATTATAACTACATATTACTGTAGGTAATATGTGTTAAAATGCTAATAGCATTTCCCATAAGAAATGTCTTATTTATATCAGGTATCCTTTGAAGAAAGTAACATGAATATAAAACTCTTGAATAATAAAATTCTTAATAATTTATACATTTTTAAAGTACATACTGATGACATGATTTACCTTCATTCTCAGCAAATCACTCTTATTCCCTTAAGACTATAAAACGCAGAGGGGAAGGAGAGAGGGACAAAGGCAAAAAAAAAAAAAAGAGAATATGAAATGGTTTAGAAAAGGTTTGCCTCTTTGTTGAAAAAGTATTGTAATTTCAACCTCTTTGATCTGTAGGCAGTCATTTCTGGAAAAGCTTCATTAGAATCTGTAAGTACCTTGAACTTAGCTGTTATTTTTAAATGATGTGTTTCTTATGTTTTCTGCTGTCACTCAGGCAACTACTGAACTAATTCATACCCATGGAGAAAGTGGATTTTTTGGTGAACTTGAGGCTCTTAGAGCTGAGTCAGTGACTAACAAAGAATTTGCCAGTTATAAAGAAAAGGCAGAGAAACTTCAAGAAGAGCTTTTGGTAAGATAAGTACCATAGATCTAATTCATTCATTTCTACCTGTCTTATTTTCCTTTTAGAATATATTCTAAAAAATAAAACCCAAATCCATAATTTCAAATGCTAGAAAAAAAAATCTTTTGTAGATTTAATGAAACATTCACTGTTACACATTTCTTTACCAGCATCTTCTCCTTACTTGACTTTCCTGGGAATCTTTGTTAGGAGAATGCTTTTACTCTCTAGTTTATTAGCAGTAAAGGAGAAAGACAGGCGTTAAAGAGAACTATAAATCCCATGAAAACCAAAAGTAGAGGCTGATAAAATTATTTCACTCCTATAGTAGATCTGTGGCCATACATATGGTATATGTGACAGTATATGTAAACTCTGAGGGTTTCTGCAATGTTTTTTCTATTATTCAGAGGCAAATGAACATACAAGCATGAATTACACTCTCCCGTTCCTCACCTGAGTTCAATTAATATGCAAAAATTTTAACTGAATTCTCTATTGCTGTTTTATTCATTATGTTTTAGGTAAAAGAAAGAAATATAGCATCTCTTCAGAACGATTTAAGCCAAGTCAAGTATCAGCTTACAAAGGCAGAAGAGAAATTATCCTTCTTCTTAGACAAAGAAGATAAAACTGAAGTACAAGAACACAGAAAGGTCTGCATGTTAGAGCCACTTCCTGTTAAAGTGGGTAAAAGCTGTGCTTCTCAGATAGAGGGAACGCTCCAGGTCAGCAGCGGCAGTCAAACCCCACAGACTCTTGTTAGAAATGCAGGGATTCAGAGTGATGTACAGAGTGAGTGTTCATCAGAGGAAGTCAATGAGGTAATCAGTCAGTTTACTGAAAAAATTGAGCAGATGCAAGAACTACATGCTGCTGAAATTTTGGATATGGAATCCAGACATATCTCAGAAACTGAAACTTTGAAGAGGGAGCATTATGTTGCCATTCAGTTACTGACAGAGGAATGTGGCTCCTTGAAGGCAGTGATACAGTGTCTGAGCTCTAAAGAGGTATTTGGTTCTCATAATACATGTTTTGTTTTGTTTTTCCAACAATCCATGATTTTTCTTTTAACATTCTATGTTTTTAAGAAAATTTTTTTTAAATATGAGAAATGTCTATTTTTTCATGATGCTATTATGATTTTAAATTTTCCCATCATGTGGAATTAGGTAATAAAGTTCTTATATGGATTTAGAACCTGTTATGATTCCTTAATTCATGAATGTCTCTCCTTATTATGGCAATACCCATGAGGAAAAAATATATGTGTCATAAACTTTAGATAGTTTAATTTATTGTGACAAATATGGACATTAGATTTATTTTTCCTTTTTTAACTATATCAGAAACTAGAATGGTTCATTGGGTCTTATGTTTACTAAAGTAAAAAATACTTTTTTTTTTTTTGCTGTTTTTTCCTCTAATTAGGGATCCTCAATTCCCGAATTGTCATATTCTAATGCTTACCAAACTAGAGAAGTATGTTCCAGTGGTAAGTTTTTCTGAAATGGTTATATTATTTGTCTAAAAAGTGTTGTATTTGTATGTGTGAATTACAAATGGTTGTTTTCTTTATTTTAGATTCTGGATCAGACTGGGGTCAGGGAACTTATCTTACACAAAGTCAGGGATTTGACACAGTATTAGAAGGCCAAGGAGAAGAAGGTGAAAGTTTAACAGATTCATTTCCCCAAAAAATAAAGGTAATAAAAACTGAAAATCTCCTAATAAACTTAGCCAGTATTATTTCTTTCTTGAAGATAGTAGTTTATTTGAAATTACATAGTAGCATCCTTTCTGAAGAGAGAATTGCATAGCTAGAAAGCTCCTTGGGGATGGAGGGTCTGTTTCATCTTATTCCCATATTTCACAGATAATAAAGTACAGTATACTTTGTGATTATGCTTATGAAGGGTTTTTTTTAATAATTTTATTCCCAGTGTCTTTATTTGCCAAAATTATTAAAGCAATCTCAAGGAGTAAGAGTTACTTCCCACCTTCTTTCTTTTGGTCAAATCAGTGGCTAGTCATTAAATCTAGGAAGAGTACATTGGCTAAATAGAAAGAAGGAACTTAGAAATGAGAATTGTGAAAAGTCATAGAGAGTCTTGGGATTAGCTTACCCCTCCACAGGAAGCAGCATTTGGAAGAATCTGGCTGGGTCTCCTGTCTTCATTGACTTTTCTGAGTCAGACTAGTTTGATAAGTTACATTGCTTTAAATATACTTATTTTTATATGTTCAGTCTTTGAAGAAGTCATAATTTTGGGTTTTGGTTTCTAGGGATTACTGAGAGCTGTCCATAATGAGGGCATGCAGGTGCTTTCTCTCACAGAGTCACCCTATGGTGATAGAGAGGACCCTTCTGTTCAGCAAATTTCAGAATCTTGGCTAGAAGAGAGAAGAGCTTACCTCAGTACCATCTCATCTCTTAAGGATTTAATTACCAAAATGCAAGTGCAAAGGGAAGCTGAGGTACTCAATATTATGTTTGTAAATAGTTTTATATTAACGACAGTGATACAATTTATGAGTTAAATTATGTTTATATGTGTTTTACATGAATTACTATAGTTTCCAATTTGAAAATACATATGCTCTTAAGTTTTTAAATTTTTATTTTGGTTAGTAGATAATATTTTTAGGATGCTTTTAAAACATGCTTATTTGAAAACTAACTTTTGTATTTCATACTCTGCTAGGTTTATGATAGTTCTCAATCTCGTGAAAGCCTCTCAGACTGGCGTGGTGAACTCCTACTTGCCCTTCAACATGTTTTCTTGAAGGAACGCAGCACTTTACTAGCTGCATTTCAGACTGAGCTGACAGCTCTAGGCACTAGAGATGTAGCTGGACTGTTAAACTGTTTGGAACAGAGAATACAAGAACAGGTATCAAAAAGCAAACTTTCTTTTTAAAAAAATGCTTTACAAATAGTAATAAGAAAGTGAGTTATTGGTTTTACAATTTTGAATATGAAAATTAACATTTTAGCAGGGGCCACTGAGAATATTTAGGAGAAAAAGATTCTAAATGTTTTATCCTATGTTAGAAAGTAGTAAAATCAGAAAATTTCTGAGCTAATCATCAAACTCAGGAAGTTAGAAAAAAGCAACAGAATAAACCCAAAGAAAATGCAGAAACAATACAGACATTTCTCATTTTTCTCAGTAATTATGTTTTGTAAAATTGTTATGAGCCATTGCTTCTAGTGGAAACACAGGGTTAGGTTCCAATAAGCCTCCAGTCACACATTTTTATCAGCCATTCAATAGACAATCTTGTTTTCTGTGTGATTGTATTAAACTTTGTCACTGTGACAAAATACCTGACATAAGCAATTTACAGAGGGGTAAACTTGTTTTAGCTCACAGTTTCAGAGGTTTCAGTCCATAATCCTTGGCTCTATTGATTCTGGGCCTCTGATGAACCAAAACACCATGGAGTAGGTGCTATGACAGAGGCCACTCACCTCATGCCAGACAGGAAGTAGAGAGAAAGAGAGAGAGGAAGGAATCAGGTGTACCCCCAGTGACTTATTTCCTCCTTCTCAGCCCCTTCTCCTAAAATTTCCACTACTTCCCAAAATAGTGTCACAAGCTGGGAACCAAGCTTTCAGCCCATGAGCCTATGGGGAACATTTCATAGTCAAACCCTAACAGTGTTTCCATTTGAAGATATCTTTTTTAGTATATATTATTGATTCATTGACATTGAACATGGTCAAAAACAGTGTAACTCATGCCTGAAAGAAGTTTATGTGATACACATTTTTACCTTAAGATGCTGCACAGGTTTCATGTACTAAAAAACATGTGGTGCTTTACTTGGGGGCCATTTTAAACCATAAAATCACAAATAAAACACATAAATATGAAAAATAAGACACCAAACAGACTGAAAACATTTGTGTCTACACTATGAGAGCTAAAGTGAAAAGGCACAGTGTTCCCTTGTTTGACTTCAGCTAGGAACATTAATCAGTTTATATTTTTTGCTGTTCTGTATGTGTATGAATGACAGTGAAAGCAATACTAGTATTGATTTTGAGATTACACATAAATTTTAATGAGTAGTCAAATATGCAAGTATGGAATCTATGAATAATGAAGATTAAAGTTGGCTCTTTGAAAAGGCTAATAAAACAAGCTTTTCTGGAGAATTGTGTTAAGAAAAATAAAATATTTTTAAGCATTAAGAATGAAGTAGGATCATAACTAAAAATATAGCTGAGATATAAAAACAAAAAAATACTATGAATAATTTCCTACATTTTAAAACATGGGTGAAATGAACAGGTTTTCTTTTTTTAAAAAATTATGCAGATTCATTTAGTAAGAAATGGAAAACCTAAAAAGACCTATGACTAGTAACAGAGTCCTATCAATAGTTAAAAGTCTATTCATAACGCTTTTGCCCAGGTCTCAGTTTTTAAATATATTCTCCTTTAAAAAGAACTAGGGTTCCTTGGAGTCCTGGTAATATACCAGGGCTATATCAGGGAAGATACAGATGAACCAGGAATATCTTGTTTTGCTAACAAGTAGGAATTGTTCAAAGAACAAAATGAATATGTCAAAAGGACTCAGACGCCAGCTATTAAGGCTCTCTCATTGGCCAAATTTGGAAAATTTAAACATCAAACTAAATGGTAGTGACAGATTAAGAAGCAGAATAAAATAACAATTCATGAGCTCATACTTATATTATTAGATAAGTAAATATTATCACAGTAGAATGCTACCTAGTAAAAGGAATGATGGAATTAGAAAATCATCCTTTATTAAACATGACCTATTCAAGCAGTAATCATCAATGGATGCTAAAACTAGTATGAAAAAGTTGTTAAAAGCATATTTGCATAGTCTCAAAGTAAATCCCCAGAAGGTTCTTTTCATTATAGAGGGAAAAGCAGTAACTTTGTAGTGGAGAAACCTTGCAGACACCACCTTACCCAGGCAATCAGAGTTAATATTAGCAGCAATGGAAAAAGCAAAGACAGCAGATACTTCCTCATATTAAGGACACAACATCATTTTTGTGGTACTTCTGTTAAATGCATAACAAGAATCCCCACCGAATGCTGATGGATGTGCGAAGTGGGAATGTAAAGTGGGAAAGCCAAGTTAAACATACCTGTGCCTTATGACCTAGCAGTCACACTCATAAATACTTAGACAGGAATGAAAATTTGCATCTCCCTAAGCACATACACATGAATATTCATAGCTGTTTTATTTGTAATGTCCTCTAGCAAATAAATGGATGGACAAACTGTGATATATCCATATAATGAAATACTATCAAGCATTTAAAAAGAAACAAACTTGGTACTCTCAACATCCTTCGTGTTAGGTATGTTGAAATGGCAGAATTATGACAGAGAACAGATGAGTGGTTGCTCAAGTTAAAGGTAGGGAGAAGCTGTGACTACAAGTAGTCTTTAGTGAAGTAGTTCCGTACCATAATTGTGGTACATGTTTAAGAACCTGCAACAAGTGATAAAATTTCATAGTATTGTAACACCAAAGAAAAAAAGCTGTGTAAATAGTAATGAAATGTGAATAAACCTATAGTTTGAATAATATTGCCAGTGTTAGTTTCCTGATTTTGACAATGTGCTGCAATTATTTAACATGCTGTCATTAGGGAAAGCTGGCTGAGGGGTGCATGGGAACTTAAATTAGTACAAAATAAAAAGGTCTTTTTTTTTTTTAATTGAGGAGCATACACACAAAATACCTAGTCTATACTCTTTAAAAAGCTCAAGGTTATAAAAAACTTAATATCAGCACTTGCAAACTTTGAATAATCTCTATTAGATAATATTGTTTTAGTAATGTTAATTCCTCTGGATATTTGCACTGGGGTTACATAGAAGAATGTTCTTATTTTTAGGAAACACAGCAATATTTAGAGGTAAAAGAATATCTGTTTTCAACAAATCCTCACACATTTTGAACAAGAAAAAGTGAAATTCTTAAAAATATTTTAGCACATTTGTTTCATTCCTCCTTCAGACTTTCTGGTTGTTAATTTTATTGTCTTTACATTTGATTTTTCACTTTACTTTGTTACAGGGTATTGGCTATCAAGCAGCTATGGACTGTCTGCAGAAGGCAGATAGAAGGAGTTTGTTATCTGAAATTCAAGCACTGCATGCTCAAATTAATGGTAGAAAAATGGCCCTGAAAAGAGAACAAGAAATTGATAAACCAAGCCAAGGTATATTATATGACAGATTCATATGATTACACAAATAAGTGAAAATATTTCACCTCATTGTCCTTATTATTATTCAGTTAAATATTTCCACTTACTCACATTTTCATCTCATTATCATAACATAAGTAGATAATCTATGTTCATTACTGTAGGGTTAGAGGATTTACAAATTGCTCTTGTACAGCTGTATCTAATTTAAAACAAACACCCTTTACTTTGATCAGTCTAAATACATTAAGTTCTTTATCTTTGTTTTAAAACTGTGTATTAGTTGGGCAGATGGCTTGATGCCTATAATTCCACTACTTGGGAGGCAGAAATTGGGAGGATCATGGTTCGAGGGTAGCGTGGGCAAAAAAGTAGTGAACCTCCCCTTGCAACAAAAAAAGCCAGATGTGGTGCAGCGATGTAATCCCAGCTACTCAGGAGGTACTAGGTCCTGAGTTCAAACTCCAGTGCTATCAAAAATATTGTAAAAATAAGCCATATGTTAAGAAAACAGTCTTTCCTACTCTCTTTAGAGGATAACTGCCTAAAAGAAAAGGAAATCCATAATGAAAGTAACTATTTCCTCTTAATTCTTTGTTTACAAAATTGTGAACTATCCAGTACATATAAAAAAGTAAAAAATTCAAATACACAGTGTGACAAGAAATTTAATGAGTATTATCCTGATCTTCCTTTAGTTAAAACTTACCAGTTTATATATCTCTAAACCATGCATGTTTAAAGTTCCCTGATTTTGACCATTATCAGTCTATATATTTCATGTCTGGCTTTTTCATCTTTCTTTAACATTGTCCCAAGTTAAACATTTGGGTGTTTCTGCTTGTCAGCTATTATACTCAGTGCCGTTATGGACATTATTCTACAATGTTTCTGAGTCACACAACATGCATGAGTCTTCAGAGGAGTGGAATTGCTGAGTCATTGCATGAATATCTTCAAATTTATTAGATAATACCAAACTTTTAAAAAGCAGTCATATCAGTTTGTGTACTCAGTAGCAGTGTGTAGATTCTGTTGCTTCACGTCTTTCCCAACAGCTGGTATTGTCAGGCCTTTTTTGCTAATCTCTTGGGTGTGCAGTGGTTTGGAGAGAGGGTTATTGTGGAGCTAGGCATTGAACCCAGAAACTTGCACATGGTAGGCACTCTACCACTTGATCCATGCCCCTATCCACTTATTATAGTTTTAATTAACTTTAGTTACTGAAATAGTTTAGTGTTTTACATGATTACTGACTAGTTGGATTTTTGCTTTGGTGATAACAATCCCTCCTAGAATCACATAAAGCCTAAAATAATGACTAATATGTCTGCAGAGCTTTTCTCTGTGAGTGTGTGTGTGTGTGTGTGTATACATGTATAAATACATATATTTACATAAATGTAAAATCCTGGTGCATATTTGGAAATCATTAAGTGTAATGTTTTCACTTGAAGATTTAAGTCTCTGGATTTGTTTTTCTTGTAGTAAACATATATAAAGGGTTTGATTGGTTTTTAATGGAAAAAACAGAATCCAAACTGGGATTTGGACTTCCCATTTCTGGAGATACAGTTACATTAAAGTTCAAGTTTTTGCTGGCAATGATGGTTCACACCAGTGATCCTAGCTAGCTACTTGGGAGGATCTCGATTCAAGGCCAACCTGGGGAAGTAGTTTTTGAAACTCCCATCTCCAAAATAACCAAAGCAAGATGGACTGGAGGTGTGGCTTAAGCAGTAGAATATCTGCTTTGCAAGTGCGAAGTCCTGAGCTCAAACCCCAGTCTCACCCAAAAATAAAAAAAAGGTCTAGTTTCTTATTTTAAGTTTTACATCCATTAACATATTCTGTTAAACTTTTATCAGTCTTATATTTAGAGTTCTTGAATCTTGGCCAGTAGCCCTCTGAGAAAAACGGTTTATTTATATAAATTACCAATGCTAGAGATTCTAAATCTTCTCAAAATTGCTTTGCAGTAATCTCCTAAATTGTAAATCAGTTTTATCAATAAAGTATTTATAACCCAAGTATGAATTGCTAGATTATATTTTAAATATTTATCATGTTCCCTTTAGAACTGATGGAATATAATATGCAGCAGAAGCAGTCTCAAATGCTGGAGATGCAAGTGGAACTCAGCAGTGTGAAAGACAGAGCAGCAGAGCTGCAGGAACAGCTAAGTTCGGAAAAAATGGTGGTTGCCGAACTAAAAAGTGAACTTGCACAAACAAAATTGGAACTAGAAACAACCCTCAAAGCACAGCATAAGCACCTAAAGGAATTAGAAGCATTCAGGTGTGCCAAGCTTCGTATAGAATAAACATGTATTAGTGAAGGAATTAGCACAGTTTTGTCACAGACATTGTGCAGATATTACAGAAGCACAACAGTATGCATAATGTTTAAGTGTGAAACTTTAATTTTAGAAAAAGTGTACTAGAGAAGGAACACCCAAATTTTTCCAAATTATAAAGTCATGGTTATTTTACATTCTGTGCCACAGCTTTAGTTCTATTTGAGACTTGTAAAAAATACAGTTTTGACTTTTATTTTGCCACCAACTAATTTGAAGTGATCTCAGTCAGATTCATGGTTTAGTTAGCTAAAATATGCAAAGTATTTGAAGAGATAATGCTTGTAAAAAGAATAGATTTGTTGATGTAAATACTGAGATACTCTACTTTCTAAAGATATTGCAAGTGCAGTCATTTTATTTGAACATTGACTTCATATGCACAAATTCACATGATGATTTCCATGTTCAGTAAAAGACAAGGAAAAATCTTTATTGATACTATTTTAGTAGTAATAAGCTGCATAATTTTTTATAATGGTAAATAATAAGTTGTGCTATGAGAAACAGTTAATTTGAAATGAACCACAGTCAAGAATCTGGGGGCATGGCTCAAGTGGTAAAGCGCCTGTCAAGCAATCTCAAAACCCTGAATTCCAACCCCAGTACCACAAAAAAAAAAAAATTCTAAATCTTTATATTGTTTACATTTTCCTATTAGGTAGTTAATAATATGTCTCAACTTTTCAGTGGATGCTGTTTTCTCTTTACTCTCTATAAGTATATATTTGATCACTATAGTTTTATAAAAGCTCATTTGTCTCTTAGGTTGGAAGTAAAAGATAAAACAGATGAAGTACATTTGCTTAATGATACATTAGCAAGTGAACAGAAAAAATCAAGAGAGCTCCAATGGGCTTTGGAGAAAGAGAAAGCCAAGTTGGGACACAATGAAGAATGTGATAAAGAAGAACTTGAGGTATTGTTAACTTCATCTTTATATGTCTCTGGAGAATCCAGTCTCGATGCTTTCCTCTGTCTAAAGTGCCAACCTTATCCTGTTTAAAGAGTATCATAGGATAGATCAGGATCTTAATATCAGACCACAAATTCTAAAGTTGATACAGGAAAGAGTAGGAAATACTCTGGAGTTAGTAGGTATAGGTAAGAACTTTCTCAATGGAACCCCAGCAGCACAGCAACTAAGAGATAGCATAGATAAATAGGACTTCGTAAAACTAAAAAGCTTCTGTTCATCAAAAGAAATGGTCTCTAAACTGAAGAGAACACCCACAGAGTGGGAGAAAATATTTGCCAGCTACACATCAGACAAAGGACTGATAACCAGAATATATAGGGAACTTAAAAAACTAAATTCTCCTAAAACTAATGAACCAATAAAGAAATGGGCAAGTGAACTAAACAGAACTTTCTCAAAAGAAGAAATTCAAGTGGCCAAAAAACACATGAAAAAATGCTCACCATCTCTAGCCATAAAGGAAATGCAAATTAAAACCACACTAAGATTCCACCTCACCCCTGTTAGAATAGCCATCGTTGGCAACACCACCACCAACAGGTGTTGGCGAGGATGCGGGGAAAAGGAACCCTCTTAACACTGTTGGTGGGAACGTAAACTAGTACAACCACTCTGGAAAAAAATTTGGAGACTACTTAAAAAGCTAAACATTGATCTACCGTTTGATCCAGCAATACCACTCTTGGGATATACCCAAAAGACTGTGACACAGGTTACGCCAGAGGCACCTGCACACCCATGTTTATTACAGCACTATTCACAATAGCCAAGTTATGGAAACAGCCAAGATGCCCCACTACTGATGAATGGATCAAGAAAATGAGGTATCTATACACAATGGAATTTTATGCAGCCATGAAGAAGAACAAAACGTTACCATTCGCTGGTAAATGGATGGAATTGGAGAACATCATTCTGAGTGAGGTTAGCCTGGCCCAAAAGACCAAAAATCATGTGTTCTCCCTCATATGCGGACATTAGATCAAGGGCAAACATAACAAGGGGATTGGACTTTGAGCACATGATAAAAGCAAGAACACACTAGGGAGGTGTGAGGATAGGTAAGACACCTAAAAAATTAGCTAGCATTTGTTGCCCTCAACACAGAGAAACTAAAGCAGATACTTTAAAACAACTGAGGCCAATAGGAGAAGGGGACCAGGAACTAGAGAAAAGGTTAGATCAAAAAGAATTAACCTAGAAGGTAACACATATGGACAGGAAATTAATGTGAGTCAACTCCCTGTATAGCTATCCTTATCTCAACTAGCAAAAACCCTTGTTCCTTCCTATTATTGCTTATACTCTCTCTTCAACAAAATTAGAGATAAGGGCAAAATAGTTTCTGGTTGGTATTGAGGGGGTGGGGGGGAGAGGGAGGGGGTGGAGTGGGTGGTAAGGGAGGGGGTTGGGGCAGGGAGGGAGAAATGACCCAAGCATTGTATGCACATATGAATAATAAAACAATAAAAATTTTTTAAAAAGAGTATAATAGGCTACATAATGAAAGACCCTGTCTCAAAAACCAAAAAAAAAATCTAAGAGTATAATAAGTTGTTCACTATATGTTAAATAGTATTGTAATGTTACCTAACTGTATTATGAGGAAATGTTAGTGGTGATAACTTTTTATATTTTGCTGTATCCAAGGATGCATACTGATTCTTTGCTGCACCATACTTTGGAGATGTGAATTAGTGCAGTTACAGTTTAATAAATAGGGCAAGCATGTCACTTTAATGCAGAAGTTTTTGATTCCTATTTTCTCCCAGAGAAGGGGCGCAGGGATAATTTTCTGGTAGCAGGAGTACTTGCTGCTGTACTTGAAGAAACTTTGGTATGAGCATTGAACTCTATCAAGGCTGGGCTCACCCAGCCTTGCATGACTTTCGGCTCAAGGCACGTTGTCTTACATGGACAATAGCCTCACTTTCTCAGAGCTCTTCCTCTATAAATCTAATCCAGTATTCACTGACTATGGGAAAAATATGTTGCCAGCATTTTTGTCCTATTTTCTTTCTTTGTTAAATTTCTCCTGTGATAACAGTTGCACAGGGAAATGTTATAAACTTGTAAATCTATTAAATTTTTTGTGGTATTTTTAATAATTCTGTACATGAAACAAAGTTTGTTCATTAAATTATCAAATAGAAAAGGTGTCACTGTCTCATCCACCCTGTGGAAAATCTGTGGACAGTTTAGTAGTTTGGTATCATAATCATTCTTAACATGGCATTTATATGGTACTAATAAGTTATTTTCTCACATTTATTCACATATAAGTACTGAACAGTAAAAGCAATCACATGTCATTAATATATGAAAAGGTAATATAAGAACACTTATTTTTAAGGATTGTTATTAAGAGAAATGTCCCTGCTTCATATTTAGCCAGAGAAAGTAAATGCTTTAAGAGGAAAATATTATTGTACCTGTCTTTTATTTATATTACTTGATGAAAATCAGATGACTGTCCAAATAATTATTTTCGAGCCAATGAAAATTTAAATTAACTGAATAACAGTTCTGTCTTCCATTACCAGAGGCCACTGATTTGGTCTAAAGTCTTAGTTATATATTACAAAGTTTTTTCAATAATATTAATGATTCTTAAATTTGATTTCTCTTGCAAGGATCTGAAGTTTTCACTTGAGGATCAGAAACAGAGAAATATTCAGCTAAATCTACTTTTGGAACAGCAGAAACAACTACTAAATGAATCACAGCAGAAAATAGAGTCACAAAGAATGCTGTATGATGCCCAGTTGTCAGAAGAACAAGGCCGAAACTTAGAGCTTCAAGTACTTCTAGAGTCTGAGAAAATTCGAATTCAGGAAATGAGTACTACCCTAGCTAGGGAGCGGGAGTTGCATGCTCAGCTGCAGAGCAATGATGATGGTGTGCAGTCTCGGCCGTCCTTACCCTCGGAGGACTTACTTAAAGAGTTGCAGAAACAGCTAGAGGAAAAACACAGTCGCATAGTAGAATTATTAAATGAGACTGAAAAATATAAACTGGATTCTTTGCAAACAAGACAACAAATGGAAAAAGATAGACAGGTTCATAGGAAGACACTGCAGACGGAACAAGATGCCAATACTGAAGGACAGAAAAAAATGCATGAACTGCAGTCCAAAGTGGAAGATCTTCAACACCAACTGGAAGAGAAAAGACAACAAGTTTATAAGTTAGACCTTGAAGGAAAGCGACTACAAGGAATTATGCAGGAGTTCCAGAAGCAAGAGCTAGAACGAGAAGAAAAGCGAGAAAGTAGACGAATCTTGTATCAGAATCTTAATGAGGTAAACTGGCACTTTATTTCCTTTTAATATTTTTAAGGTTTTTAAAGTATTTTAAATTTTCTTTTTAACTTTTTGATCATAAAATTTTGATCTCGGACTCAATTTATTTAAATAGTTAATATAGTTATGTGCAAATCACTTAATGAAATCTATAGAACTTTATTTGTTATATAATTATGCTTTCTTAAGAAAATATGACATGCTGCTCATTTATAATTACTGTTTTATTTTTCTGTCCAAAATTGCCAGCCAAGCACTTGGAGCTTGAGTAATGATCGAACTAGAAGTTGGGTTCTTCAACAGAAAATAGAAGGAGAGACAAAAGAATCAAGCTATCCAAAATTGATTGAACTGAATGGAGGAGAAACTGGCTGTAAACATGAATTGGAAATGATCAAGCAAAAGCTTCAACATGTGTCTTCAAAACTTGAGTATCTAGCCCAGAAAGCCTCTAATAGGTTAGACTTGCCTGATCCTCAAAAATGTCATTCTTAGACATACCAGCCCAGAGTGGGGAAGTAATTGTAAAACTAATGTTTCTTTACATTAAGAGATGATATTCTTTAATAAAACTCATACATCTGAAAAAAACTTAACGTTTTGACCCACAGAAAGAGAATACTCAGTGTAAGAAATAAGTAATAAGTGAAACAGAGCATCCCTTAATCTGTAATGTTTTTGTTAGGAAACACCCCTGAGAAGGTCTGTTTTGATTTTTTTTTTTTTAATCTTTTTCTTGAAGACAACAGTTTGAAACAGCAGATGATGAAGCTTTCATTTGGATTGAGGAAAATATTGACGGAATTCTTTTACAACTACAGAAGTTAACTGGACAGCCAGGTGAAGAGGTAAGATATTTTTTTAAAGCTCTTCGTAAACCATAGGAAGCAGCGATATAATACAAATTATGACTTGTTTAAAACTGGCAGCATATTGTATAAGAGTTTCTACTTGCTCTTTTTTTAATTTTAAATATAATGTTTCCCTTTCCCCAATAAGAATAGTGAAAGCTTGAAGGAAAGTCATTATACATTATTCATTATTCACTATTCACTATTATTATTATTATTATTATTATTATTGAGTAGTTACTTTGCCTTCTTATAAAGAGACCAAGATTCTTTAAAGAGCAGCCTGGCTTCTCTTCACCACTCCCTGAAGCCATCCTTAGAATCTTGCTGGTGTCTACTGTTGACTAACCTGATGAATTTTTTTCACTGGCTGTCTTTAATCTTTGTAATTTTTGACCTCGTTACAAATTCCATCTTGTTAGAACCCTTTTTCCTTGATTTTGTGTGATCATTCTTCTCTCGTTTCATCTGCTTCTTCAGTCAGTCACCCTCATGAGTTCCTCTTTCTCCTCTCATCCTCTGACTATAGCTATGAAAGCTTCTTCATTCCTACAGCCTGAGCTCTCACTAGATTTGTTTATTAAACACTTACCTTAAGCCCCTACCATATGTCAGGTACTGTGCTGGGTTCTGGAGATAATAGTGAACAAATTTGGAGATTATCATCTGGTAGACTGCTGTTGTAGTATAAACCATGAATCTGTGGTCCAGTCTTATATTTTCAGTTAGTTATTAGATGTCTCTTCTTGGGAAAATGTTCCCCCATGGTGACCCCTTAGGAACCTCACAGGCACATTCCAAACTGAACATCATCTTTCCTTTATCCTTCCTGACCCAGAACCCACTTTAGAAAGATGGAAGTCACCATAGACCACCTTCCTTCACCCCTCCCTGTACATCTAAGCAGTCACTAAGTCAGGATTTTACCTCCCAAATACCTATCCCTATGTGCCTTCTACTCTCTGTCCCTAGTCATTGCCTTGGGCTTTCAATATTTCTTACCTGGACTGTTGCAACAACTTCCTGGTGGGTCTGCCTGATGCTAGGATATTTATTCTGTAAGTTTTGCATGCTGCTACCAAAGGAATCTTTCTAGACACATACATCTTGCTTGTGACATGCTCCTGCCTAAAGACTTTCATGACTCTCCTTTATCTGTATTCAGGTCTATCATTCATAAAGTGAAGCAGCATCTTCTCTAGTCTTACCATGAAACTTGTAGCTCCCTAAAAGCAACACGCTCTTGAATAAGCCTCTGTGCCTTTACAGATCACTCTTCCTGTTCTCATTGTGTCCTTCCCTCGCCTTTTTCCTGTCTGGCAAATTTCTACCTGTTATTTAACGAAGCACCAGTTCATGAAGTCTTTTGCTCTCAGTGTCTGTTCACACTTTTATGAGTTATTCAACATACATTTGTGCTTTTGTGACCTTACACCATTTTATTTTTCCAGTCCAACTTCATGTCTCCAGGTACTTCCTGTGGCTCATTGACTGAAAGACTACTGAGACAAAATGCTGAGCTGACAGGACATATCAGCCAACTGACTGAAGAAAAGAATGATTTAAGGAACATGAGTATGAAGCTGGAAGAGCAGATAAGGTGTTATCGACAAACAGGAGCTGGTAGAGGTTATGTACGTCTATTTTTAGAAGTAGCACAAAGTTACTGCTATCTAGTTTTCTTTTGAACCATATAAAAGTATCAAGTATCTGATTCTTAGGAGGAACTATGAAAAATTTTATAGAGATTACAATAATAATAGCTATTATTTTGTGGGAAGCTTTTCTGTACCAGACTCTGGATTGTATACATACAGAATTTCTAATTCACATCTCGCTTTGTACGTGAGAAAACTGAAATGAAGTCATAATCAAATCATCTGTTTCTCTCCAAAGTCATACACATGTTGACAGCAGACACATGTAAAGAAATACTCAAAAGCAAATCCTGACTATTCTCTTTGGTTGTTTATCAGTTGCTGTGTATATGACTCAAGTGAAAAATGCTGTTAAATTATATATTTCTGACTAAGAAACTACTCTGGGAGTTTAAATTTTTTCCATTTGAAAAGCTACAAAATAAATTACTGGTTTCTATAATCACCCATGTATTTACTGGAGAGACAAGTCAGACAACTGTACAGTCAAATAGATAGTAACACATTTGCCACCTTCCATATCTGCTTACCTATATATATAGTGGCTTACTTTGTCTCTGCTTCTCTAATATAGGCTCAACATTCTCTTCCCAGGTGGTCTGTTACATCTCTTTATCTTTTTAGTTCAAAGCTCTGCTAATTCTGCTAAATCTTCCCTGGCTGTGCTTTTGCCAGGGCCTGTAGTTATAAAGCTAGTCTCAGCAGCGGACCCTAAATTAGAGTTGCTGAATATTCTTTCACAGCATTTGCAATTGACTGTAAGCTTTCCCTGTATGAGGTTGGAGAGCTGAGACTAGGTATCCATCATGAGGTTACCTTTTAATATATTTAATTTAGATTCTTCTTCAGAAACTTGTTCTTAAAACTCATGTTAAGTAGGCTGTGGTCTCTCCAGTCTTCTAGGTTTGCATTTGGTGGTAGTGCTAACATTGAAGCCATCATTGCTTCTGAAAAAGAAGTATGGAACAGAGAAAAATTGACTCTCCAAAAATCTTTGAAAAGGACAGAAGCTGAAGTATGTAAACTGAAAGCTGAACTAAGAAACGAGACTTTACTTAGGAATCTGAGCCCTGACTCAGAACATGGCACCCTAAAGGTAGGAGACATCATCCATCCGTTTTTGTCGTTTCATCTTTCACTGACCTTAATTGAACAGCATAAAGACATATAGGTAGTGCTCAGACTGTGTCTTTAGGTTTCTTTATCAGTCTGTCACAATTGATTACAAGGACTCTAGCTGGTCACAGGTGGTTTATGGAGAGATGTGTCCAGGACTGGTACCAGATTAGGCTCTGTTAATTGTCACAGTGTCAGCACCCAGAGCTTGTGGTCTTATTTCCCAAAGTTTCTTCACCAAATAGGCAAATAAAAATGTTACCTTTTTAACTCCTAACAAAAGCTGTCAGTGTAAGAGCATCATGCCCTATAGGATGGAAGCCCTCCCAGTAGCCTCTCTAATGTCTCAAGAGTGAATATTGGAGTAAAAATACCTTAATCAGTTAGCCTGAAGTCCAAAACAAAAAGGAGGATAACTATTTGGAATATTTATTCCAGCTATGAAGGGAACATATATTTATGACTCTTACAAGGCCAGAAAACATTAACTTATTAAAAAGCTAAATAAATGAGCTTTTACATAGTTTTTTAAACCTGCATGATAATAGGATGGCAAAAATATTTTCAATGAATATGATGAACAGGAAATAAAATTCAAAACAAAACAAAAAGCGTAAAGTTGGTACTCACACGCCATTGACTAAAGAGAGGACAAGTATGAAGGCTAATTATGTTAGCTTTCAACTTTGCTGATAAAGCAGAAAACAGTGATAGATTACCTGACATTCTGCTGCTGTTTTTTATTTCTGATCTAGGTAATCTTCTCCTAAAGAACAATTTGAATGACTTCTTATGTTGTCTTTATGTTCTTCCCTTCTTTAAATATAGAGGATTTATGGTAAATACTTGAGGGCAGAAAGTTTTCGAAAAGCTCTTATTTATCAGAAGAAATACCTGCTGCTGTTACTGGGTGGGTTCCAGGAATGTGAAGAGGCAACCCTGACACTGCTTGCCCGCATGGGGGGGCAACCAGCCTTTACTGATCTAGAGGTGATTACCAACCGCCCAAAGGGCTTCACCAGGTTTCGTTCGGCTGTCAGAGTGTGCATTGCAATTTCAAGGTAAAGTCTTTGAAAGAAAATTCATTTTAATAGATTTTCTAAAAGACGTTTCTATAGGAAGAACTTGCTATCACTCAGACATGCCTACCTGCTTATTTATTTCTAGGATTTCATCTTTCCAGGAGGATTTTCTTTTTCTTTTTTTTTTTTTTTTTTTTTTTTTTTTTTTTTTTTGGTGATAATAGAGTTTGAACTCAGGACCTTGAGCTTGCTTATTGTGCCACACATAGCACCATTTGAGCCACACCTTCAGCCCCTTTTTGCATTAGTTATTTTTCAGATAGGATCTTGCTGTTTGCATGGGTTGGCCTCAGACCACAATCCTCCTACCTGTTTCCTGTGTAACTGGGACTTTAGGTACATGTCACCATGCCTGACTTTGTTGTTTGAGATGGAGGTCTCACCATTTTCCCAGGCTGGCCTTGAATCATCTCCTCCTACCAATAGCTGGGATTACAGGCATGATCCACTGTGACTGGCTCAAACAGGAATTTTTTATACTTACACTGTGTAAACCCTTTGTAAAGGGCCTTCCCAAACACATGCATCTGTTGACTCAGAGCTGGCACATCCAGTCTGGATTGTCTTTTCTTAAAATAATTCAAATAAGCCCATGAACTATATATGGTATAGGCATATACATAGGTGAAGTCTTAGAGGGGAAAAAATGTTTTTGAAAAATTACTCCTTAAACTGGTGTACTTTTATTTTCTTCACTACTAAATTAACCCACACATGGTACCCAATACAGAAAACCCTGACCTAATTCTGCTTCCAGGTATTAGTCTTTTGGGCCTTTGTCTCTGCTAATGCTCTTGCCACTCTTTCCCTAGTAGTTTCAGGCTAGGAACTTGGTATTTATTCTGTTTGTGGTTGAAATGGAATTAAAATCCAAACTGCCTTGAAGTCCTAGCCCCCGGTAGTCCTGACCTGTCCAGTATGTACCTGACATTCACTTCTCCAGGGATCTCTGCCCTTTTGTTTCACTGGGGCCAGAATCCCAAAGGAATTTTGCTGCTTAAAAAGTTGTATCTTTCAGGTCACATCTTATGCTTTTTCAAGGGATTTTGTTCTGCTTACTTATTTTTCTTTGAAAAATATAGCTCAATATCTTCTGTTTGAAATTACCTAGTCCAGAATCTGGACTGGGTGATAATGTTGATCAAAAAGACTTAAAATGTACTCACTTTCTAGTGGGGATGAGTATTATGCACAGAACTTAGAAGACACTGAGAGGTCAGAGGACTTAGGTATTTTGATTAGAGGAATAGTGGAGGCTCCATGAACATAGTGTGGAAGGAGCTTTTGAAACACTTCATTCTACAGCCTTCTTTTTCTTGTCCTTGTTTATGGTCATGTATTTTGACTCTCCTAAAACTGAGCCTTAAAACTGAAATTAAGAAATCACATCTGGCTCTCCAGAAAGCTCCATGTGCCAGGATGAGCCAGACAGCAGCAACTTAACGCAACTGCTTCATGACACTAACACCCCCTTGAAGCCAACAGTTTTTTGTTTGTGATCACATGGTCTGACCCCTCCTCTAGCTTTCCCAGTTAATTCTTACTGCCAAATTAAATGTCTTTTTTCTTCTCCTTTCATTCTCCACTCTCTTTTTTCATCACTTTTCATCCTTTCTTATTTATCCACATTTGCCCTCTATCTTGTCGGGTTCCTTTAATCCTTAAAGCTAGAAACAGACACTAGCAACATTAGAAACCTGTACTGCCTCTTGGGAAGGGGGTGAGGAGAACTCACAGTCCTGTCCTTCTTTTCCAGTTGATTGTGCCATAATCCTCAGAGGTTTTTGTTAAGTTTAAATTAGATAATCATGATTATGTTGAAATTTCTTCTGTTCATAATTGACTTAATTTTTTTTGTGGTTGTTACATATACTCTTTATAGATGTGCCATGAAATTTTTATCTTGGGATCTTTTTTAGAATGAAATTTTTGGTTCGGCGGTGGCATCGAGTCACAGGTTCTGGTTCCATCAATATTAACAGGGATGGCTTTGGACTGAATCCAGGTGAAGTTAAAATAATGTATTTTCTTGTTTATGGCTTTGAAATCACTGTATAATAGCTGCCAAATAATGAATTCTAAAGCCTATGTTGTCCAAAAACAGCCCTTGTAACTAACAAGGCTAGGGATCTCATTGTTTTAAGAGAGTAGTAACAGTTTATTTAATGACAGTCTGCACTAAGCCCAGCGGTTTTCATGTATTCTGCCAGTCCTATGATGTAAGCACAATTACTCTTATTTACACTTTACAGATAAAAACTGAGTCACTGAAAACACATCATTTGTCCCAGATTACCCAGCAGGAAGTAGTGGAGCCAAGACCAAACTGCTGGCTCCAAAGCCATTCTTCTTACAACATTTAAGTCTGCCTCAAGAAAGGATTGCTGTTAGCCATGGGAAAGAGTTATGGGTTGAATATTTAGCAATATTCATATACTTTCTGAGTTTACTAAGGGGTCATATAATAATAATAAGTTAGAAGTCCCTCTCTCTTCACCTAGAAGGAAATACTGTATTTTGAGCATCTCGGTATAAGGATGAGGTCAGAAGCTGCAGAGTATGTGGAGTTACAGAGGACACTGCATAGCTGTGCTGTGTTGGCACTGAATTACTTGTAGATACTCCACTAGTAGCTGAACTGCAGAGAAAAGGAAACACATTTGGCACACTGAAAATATTTTGTAGTACACTGAAACACCTGAAGTTTTTAAAAACCATAATGAGTTCTCTTTTATTGAAAGTTAACATCTTGATTGTTTTTTCCTATAATGGCATGATAATAGGACTCAGTCTTATATTTCTTATCCACGCTATCTTTTGTCCCAAGTCACATACACTCAGATACTCTTCACCTCTTACCTTGTTATAGCTAAAAAGAGATCTTTTAAAAGAAAATATTCCAATTAGTTTAGGTCTTTTTTTTGAAATTTAGTTCCTAATATCAGAAAGTCATGTTCAAAGGTAAACCAAATATTGAAAGATAAATTTTTTGTAGTGTTCTCTCCATTAACAAGAATAATTGAAACTGACTATCACTAGAACACAGTATAGTACAGTCATTTGAGCCTTTATTAGTTGTGTAGAAATTTTCCAAGGGCATGGCATTTTTTTCTTTACAGTGGTGTATTTTGGGTCACTTTAGGTGCTGAAAAGACTGATCCATTTTATCATTCTGGTGGGTTGGAGCTATATGGAGAAACAAGACATACAACATACCGCTCAAGATCAGATCTAGACTACCCTAGGTCTCCATTACCATTTCAGAACAGGTAAGAATTCAATTAAACCTTCGTGTAGCAAATAATTAATTTTAACAGCAAGATAGACAGTTAGGCCTTTGTCTTCTTTGCATTCCAGTAGCTAGACATCTTTAATTATGTGTGATTTATACAACCTAAGACTAAGAATCAGAGGTAGTTTAATTCATAATGGTTTCTAAGGGTTTAGAAAACCAAGTGTTATTTAATATATGATGTGATTAAACATTTGAAAAAATATTGACTAAAATTGATACTCAGTGGTCATTACAAAAAACATTAGAATCTGTATGACAGCTGAGCACTGGTGGCTCACACCTATAATCCTAGCTACTAAGGAGGCAGAGATCAGGAGGATCACAGTTCGAAGCCAGCCTGAGCAAATAGTTTGGGAGACCCTATCTTGAAAAAAACCCTTCACAAAAATAAAGCTGGTGGAGTGGCTCAAGGTGAAGGCCCTGAGTTCATGCCCTAGTACCACAAAAAAAAAAAAAAATCTGTATGACAAGATGCATTTATATATACATATCCAACATTTACTGAGAAACTCTTTGACATGCCTTGTACTGGACATTCTTATAATGACTTGGTACCTTTTTTGAAGAGTTACTTCTTTGTTCCCCTTTGGGAAGCAGGGAATGGGCAAAGTTGGTAATTTAGGTGCATTATTTCTGGATCATTTGGACTCATGTACATACTTTAATCCTTAGGTACCCAGGCACTCCAGCTGATTTATATCCTGGTTCCTTAGCATGTTCTCAGCTTCAGAATTATGATCCTGACAGAGCTCTGACAGATTATATCACTCGGCTAGAAGCACTGCAAAGACGACTTGGAACTGTACAGTCAGGTGCTCTGTTTTTACCACTTACTGGTAGCACCACAGGGTTTGACCCACAGCTCTTTTCTCTTTTTGAAACTCCTTGACTTTCATATTTTAGAATAATCAAATCTTCTAATTCAGTGCATAGTTACCAAGTTAGACAATGCTTAGTCTCTGAAACCAGCAGAGAAATTTACTTCAAAGGATTAAAGACATAATTTTCTCACCTCAGAGAAAATCCACTCCTCTCCAAAAGTGATGCCACACTGTCTTCATTCAGCAAAACTGTTTAGATAAAATATGCATGATGAGCACCATTGTGCAAGGAACTCTGAGGCTGTAGTCTGCTGGAGAATATGTTCTTAAGTAACACATGGTAGAAAGTGGTAAGGCACACAAAACAAGGTGGGAGCAGGTGGAGGAAGCAATTGCCTTAAGCATTTAATGTAATAATTCCCACTATATGTTGTGTTTTTATGTGTCAACCAAAAAAAAATCCATTTAAAAGACTTTGTAAGAATGGCCTTTCATTTTTCTCTCCTCAAAAATATACTCACTTTCATACTTTGTAATAGAAGTGGGTTCACCGTTTATGATGGAAAAACCTCTTTTCCTTGTCTAGTTTTAGTTCACTCCCGATCTGTTAGTAGCTTTCTTTATTCAAGAAATCATTTGTTTAAGCCAACCGAACACCTTATGATAGCTGAAGCTTTTTTGTTGTTGTTGGTTGGGTTTAGCTTGTTTTGTTTTGAGCATCAAAGTTCCTCAAGGCATAGATTTTGAGGACCCAAAAGATTTTTCAGTATGTATGAGGTCTACAACATTCAACCTCCAGAGGACTTAGCAGCATTAGTCTTGGTTACCTAGCTGTAGAGCCAGTCATGGTGGGTCTTAAATATATAATCAGAAATCTCTTCCAAATCAGTGCAGGTATGAGTAAGACATTTGAAGGAAAATAGAGTAATCTCCTGCCCTGTGTGCTGACATAGTTAGCAGTCCATTTTGAAATCATTTATATGTCCTCCTTTTCTCTTACAGGTTCAACTACTCAGTTTCACACTGGCATGAGAAGATAATCCTTTGAAACATCATTAACGTGATTTTAAACAAATTTCCTTTTGTAAATCAATGATTCTTTTGTGCTTTTGTATTGTGAATATTCAGTGGGACCAATTCAAACACGGCTTATGATTGTATACAAATCCCTCGCCAGCTCATGAAAACAAACTGGAGTTTGTATATAGAAGCATTGTGTATGTATTCATGCACAATAATCATTAAATTACATGTATATTTGTGGAATGCTAATTTAAATGATTAAATTATAAACCTTGTGTATTTATCAAATGGGTGAAAAGATTAAACTTTTGCAAATTATGATACTGCTGAATGTGTAGCTTGCGGTGTCCTGCACTTTTCTTACAAGGCTACTGAAGTTACATGTTTCTGCCTAATATATTTGCTACTGGTGATGAAGACAGAACATATCACTTGTAGAGACCTATTTTTGTATAATGGTAGAAGTTTTGAATTTTATGGGGTATTTTGTCAAGTACTGGAATAAAAATGACTTCACCATTTTCACCACACTGTATTTGAACTGTCTTCATTTTTAACTGAGGCGTAGTTCTTGGTGCATATCATCTTGTTCCATGTGAGGTAAGTAACTTCTTTGAGGAAGTCAGAGTTCTACTTGTAGAGCTGATACCAACGAAGAGAAGCTTTCCATGTGTCTGTGTCAACTTTCTGTCTAGAGAATGTATGGTATTTTTATGATCAGTCCGCGTGTGTTTTAGTGTTACTTGTATCTAATGATGTGTCCTCACAAATCCACGTCTTACTAAGATACAGAAACCTTTTAGCTCAGCAGGAATTCCTGCTCTCCAAGCCAACCCTAACAGAGATAAAACCCCCAGTGTTATTTTTCATCTCAAGTATCCCGACTAATACTGCAACTCACTAAAACAGCATTTAGAGAATTGTCTTATCATTTGATGTTCTGTGATGTATGCAACACAAATAGCTGTGGTGGCAAGTTGTACATTTTTGGAAGTTTCAATTAAGTTTTCTGTAGTAGCAGCTGTTCTCCAATAAGAGAAGTTGTAGGAATAACAGTGAGTTGAAAGGGAGAGCTATGGGTAAAAATCTTTCAAAGCTAACATGGTTGCCACTGAAGGGTGTCCTGTAAGACTGCAGGGAAGACAGCAAACGTGTAAGTACTCTGCAACTGAGTTCACTCCCATTTTTGACCATCAACTCTTCTTCCATCAAGGCCTCTGCCATCACTCTTATTCATGCTTCTCAATAATTAGTTGCTGACCTGACTAGCATGTACAAGGCCCAGGATCCTCTCCTCAGCACTTCCCCCAAAAAATCTGTTGAAGTCTAAAACTATCCACTAAAACAAGCTGGCCTTCCTTCAGGGTCTTAATAAGTCTTTTGTTTTTGTTTTGTTATTGATGGTACTGAAGTTTGGTCTCAAGGCCTCACAATTGCTAGGCAGGTGCTCTACCACTTAAGACACTCTACCAGCTCTTTTTTGTGTTGAGTATTTTTGAGATAGGATCTCTGGAATGATTTGCCTGGGCTAGCCTCGATCTATGATTCTCCTGATCTCTGCCTCGTGAGTAGCTATAGGATTACAGGCATGAGCTACTGGTACCTGGCTAGGCCCCTAAGTTTTCTTTTAATGCCATGAAACTCTTTAGTTCTGTGGTGAAACTATAGATCCCTTCTCAGAAAGATGCTGTTTTGTTTGGTTTTGGTGGGACTAGAGTTTAACTCAGGGCTTCATGTTTGTAAAGCAAGCACTCTACTACTTAAGCCACACCTTCAGTCCTTTTTGCTGTGTATTTTTAAAGATGGAGTCTCAAGCACTATTTCCCCAGTACTTAGGATTACGGGTGTCAGCCACTGGCACCCAGCAAGAAAAATGCTTTTAAAACCTTAAGGTATCTCGAATTGCAAAAGTAATCAATTAAACAAAGATTTGTCAAACTTTGTTTTTAAATTTGTGATATAATACCTACAATTGAAACATTAACTATGATCTAACAATAAGTCTAGAAACTTCAAAGTAGTGATGAGAGTAAATAATGCTTGAAGAGATTTGCAACAGCTGTAATTTATTGTGAAAAAACCTGTGGTTTCTATTGATGAATTCATGGGGTACCACTAATACTATGTGACTTGTCCAAAGTCATAAATGAAAGAAATAGTAAATTTTAGACAAACCAGTATAAATAAAGGTGTAATTTTCCCCATCCAGATCCCTGAACTCCACTTACTGAAGCAGACACTAGAAATCATGAATACAAACTGTGTTTTTAATGTGAAAAGATATCAAACAAAAAAAACGGCCTTCACAATTAGAGTTTAATATGAATCTTCCAGCCTCTTAAACAGAACTATAAATATACATCAGGAAAGAAAAATAAACTTGAGACAAGGTCTGGTTGTAGCCCCAGGCTGGCCCTGAATTTGTCATCCTGTCTCAGCCTCCTAAGTGCTGGGATTACAAATGTGTGCCACATCATGCCCAGCAAGAGAAAATATTTCAACTTCATCCAGTAAAAACAGGTATCTCGTTACAGGTATCTCGTTAGCCCCCTCCCCTCACCCCTACCCTTGTTATAATGTGAGTTAGGTTGATTCCTGAACAGAGCCTCCAGAGATTATGATTGATGACACCATTTCCCAAAGAACCTACTTTATATTACCTTATCTTAAAGCCAGAGTTCCCTATAATTTCATATTTTATACTTTAAAAGTTAACCATTTGAATCAACAGAACTGGCAATAAGCATCCCTAATTGGAATCTGGAGAAGGTGCAGGGAACAATCTTGAGCCAAATAATAAAAACCCCTAAGAATTTGATTCTGGAATTGACATAAATATGGCCTTGTGGAACCAGATACATATTGATCATACTGTTCAGTATTATTATTTTTAAGAAATGTGATTATCAACATGGCCCTAGATATCTCAACTTCCAGAGGACACATTTTCATAAAAGCTCGTCACTACTGAGTATTTTCATGCCAAAACAGACCTCTCTTACCCATGGCTTTTACCATGAAATATTCCCTACCCTCCCATTTTCACACACAGAAACCTGCCCAGGTAAATCAATAACCTATGGCCTTTTGAAGTAGTTCACTGGGCATTTATACCTTGCTGAACTCGTTTCCAGATATCAATCTCCTGAGCCTGTTTGCCAAGAGCTATGTATGCTTTTTAAATGAGCACCTGAAGACTATTATTTACAATCTTCCAGTGATCTAGATTCCCCCTAAGTAAGTTTTTTACTAATAAACTTGGAATCTTTAAAACACATAGTATCAGAACTATTATAAAATGTTTCAAATCCCATTAGATTTGATATAATCATTCTATTAATGAAATATTAAAATCATAAACTGGCTTTTAGAATTACACTAAAAAAAAACAACAGATGTTTCATAAACTTCATTCTCTTCAAATGCTTTTGTAGCTTACAATGTTGTATCATGTTAATTCCTTGTAGTTTTTTTCATTTTGATCTTCGTTTGTAACGGATTAGTGGGTTTTCAGGAGTGTGAATCATGGTTGTGTAATTCACAACGGGAAAATATCCATCGATTAGATCAAATTCATATAAACGAAGCATAGTGGACCAAATTGTCTTAATTTGAACATAAGCAAAATTTTCCCCAATACAACGATGACGTCCTGTTTGAAAAAAAAAAAGTTATTAGAATCAATTTAATTCTTTTTGCCTTTTTTAGCCTGGAGTAATATTTGTTTATATACATTTTAGATGACTCACCTGACCCACATGTACAGATAGTCTAATAAAAGGATATCTTCATTGTGTTAGGGAAACAGCAATTGGCTAATTATGATGACTTTTCCAATGACCTTTTTTTGAAATGTAACATATATCCAGGTTAAACATACAGAAGGTTTATTCATAAAATAATAATCTAGGAGCACCCTCTCTTGGGACCCTCCTAGCTACTCAGGAGGCAGAGATCAGAAGGATCAAGGTTCAAAGTCAGCCCAGGCAAATAGTTCACAAGACCCTAGGAGTAGCTCAAGTGGTAGAGTGCCTGCCTAGCAAGTGTGAGACCCGGAGTTCAAACCCCAGTGCCACTGAAATAAAAGTAAAAACTAAAAGCTGATAACTGAGGCCACTCATTTGTCAAAACTCTGAGAACTGACTTAGGATTTGGGCATTCATTGTAAAATTTCCTATCGAAAGATAGAAAATAAAACTAATACCAAATGTTTAGCACAGTGCTTGCTTGACCCATAATGGCTCTTTCTTCTGGGAGCCACAACCGAGTTGGGGCGTTTACAGATTTGTCCATATTCAAAAAGAACAACTAAGATGATGTCTGGCTTACAGGAAAAATAGTTAAAGGGTTATTTTTAATAGGAACAAACTAGAAGTATCCCAGCTAAATCAACAGAACCTACAAGTTCTGAAGAATAACAAAATGATGTAAAATTCTAAAAATGAATGAACTACAATGCACCAATATAGATAAACAGCATGACTGCAAAGTAAAAGAATGGGTTAGCCAGGCACCATGGCATGTGATCCTAGCTACTTGGGAGGATGAGATTGGGAGGATTAATGTATAAGGCCAGCCTAGGCAGGAAGTTTACAAGACTCCCACCTCAACCAATAGCTGGGTAGATGTGTACTTCTTATCCCAGACTACACGGGATAAGAACTGAGATCAGGTGGGTCACAGTTCCAGGCCAGCTTGGGCAAAAAGCTGGGCCTGTCATCCCAGCTACAGCAGGAAGCATAAAGTAGGAGGATCAAGGTAGGCCAACCTGAGGTTTAAAAAGCAATACCCTATCTCCAGAATAACCAGAACAAAAAAGGCAGAAGCCGTGGCTCAAGCAGTAGAGCACCCTCTCTCAAACTTGAAGCCCTGAGTTCAAACCCAGGTACCACCTAAAAAAGAATAAAGCTGGGTAGGGTGGCGGTCCCAGCCTCCAGACTGCCAGGAATTTGGTGCCAACCTAGACACCATTGCAAGCCTGTCCCAAAAAAAGCTGGCAGTGTGGCTCAAGTGGTAGAAAATACAACAACGAAAAAACTGGTCGGGACAGATCTACATTCAAATAGCTCATAGATAACATAGCTTCAGTGACTGTGATTAGGACCAACTATAATCTTTGTTTTACTGTACTGGGGGGTTTGAACTCAGGGCCTTACACTTGCAAGGCAGGTGCTCTATCACTTGAGCCACTCTACCAACCCTTCTTTGTGTTGGGTATTTTGAGATAGGGTCTCACAAACTATTTGCCCAGGCTGACCTCCAACCTCAGTTCTCCTGGTCTCTACCTCCTGAGTAGCTAGGATTACAGGTGTGAGCCACTGGCGCCCGGCTAGGGCCTCCCACTTGATAGGCTGGTGCTCTACCTCAAGCCACATCTCCAGCCCAGGACCAAATATACATAGGGTGTTTAAAAGATTTAGTATAAGGTTCCAAAACTGAAATATGTTGCCCTATACGGTAACTGAGCAACTCATCATCTGAAAAGTTTAAGTGGAAGCAGGTAATTACCAGTATAGAAATGATTCCTCTCTCTCGCTGTAGAATTTGGGCTACATAGCTAATGACCACTCCAACTATTAATCTAAAATCCCTTACATGTTATGTTATATACCACATTATTAAATTTATTTAATAACTAAAGATCTAAATTAAAAATTCCCACAGACTTCACACTTTCCTTTATATGACAAAAAAGTCATCTGACACTTAAATGATCTCCTTGGAAAGAACAAATAAGCCAATAAGAGTGCCTACCAGTGGACACAGAAATTGGAGGAACAAGAGTCTGCCTGATTTATTTTAGGATCCTATTAGAAATGAAGAATTTTCCAAACCTACACACAATTTGCCCAAATTTAGAGACCATTTTGTCATGAGGATCTTCAGAAAGCTGAAATTTTGACTCATCAGAAAAGCTTCAACTTTAAAAGGCTGCCTTTGCTCTCTTCTGAAATGCTGGGAGTGTTATCTAACCTGATACAGGTCCCTAATTGTGTGCTAACTGCAATGGTTCAAAGAGTTCTAAATAGTATTACAAGGGAAAACAAGAGTGAACTATAAAAATTAGAACTAATAAAGCTAGGCACATTAGAAGGCAATGGAGGATGACAAGGACTCACAGAACAACTTCCCTTAATACAAATGAATTTTTTTCTTTCAACTTAGAAAAATTCTACTCCTAATGAAATCTGCTCCAAAGAAATTCACATGGATTATTTTGACAGGAATAAATATGTCACCAGGACAAACATTTCAAACTTAAAATACAATCATCTTACCAGCTCCAAAGGGCACATAGGCAAACTTCTCTGCAGATGCTGGGTTGTCCTGTAGATAGCGATCAGGGTTAAAGTCCAGGCGTTCTACCCATGAGTCTTTGAGTCTTTGATTGACAGTGGGAGAAACGCACACCTGATGTCCTGGAGGAATGGTATACCCTGCCACAGTCTACAAATGAAAGTATCACATTTCATTAATGTTTAGATATGCTGCCACATAAATAGATCATTTATTAATTAAAGCATTAATTAATACAAAGGAGATAAACATATATATCTATATTTAAAAGGTGGCTGGATCATAGGCCAACTAAAATTTGTTTTAGCTCAAAACTGATCTGAAGTGAGCCAATGAATGGAAAGTATATACACAAACCACCTCCTCATGCCTCAGAGGTAGAATGGAATTTCAAGGCGTCGTTCACCTGATGTGTGCAATTCATACTGTTAGACTTGTTTACAGCGAAACATTTTTAGCTCATTTTGTTGTTTGTTTTCTCTGTGGTGCTAGAGATCAAACCCAGGACCTCACATATGCTAGGCAAGCGCTCTGCCACTGAGCTACATCCCCAGCCCAAAACATTATTTTTAAAACCAAGAAAAAATATACTTCTATTTTTAAAAACCTCTATTCAGTGAAAATAACAAGCATAATACATTAGAGACTAGCATGTACAGTATCTGCAATTGTGTACAAGTGTTCATGTTTCTTATAAAGATTATGTGCTAGTGATGATTGACTTTTTTAATTTAAAAACGGTCTCTGGCCGGTACTCAGAAGGCTAAGGCCAGATGATTGCAAGTTCAAATCCAGCCTAGGCTACATAACAAGATCTCATATCTACTATTATATTTCCTGTTCTTGATAAATAAAATCTGGGGCGCAGAAGGGGCAATCTAGCCAGCAGACTTACCTGAGGAGTTTTGACCATTCTCATCATGGTCATTATCGGAGGTCTAAGTCTCAATGTTTCTTTTATGCAGCGGTCAAGTAAATTTAGATCCTTGAGCTAAAAAGAGAAAGTATTTCCTGATATTTAACAATCAATTAGCATTGTTCGACAATATAAAAATTATTTTAGTACAAGAAAAGCTTGCATTCTGGGTCGAAGCACAGAGTAAGTGGTGTTAGTTCAAGATGGTTGAGACTGTCATGTCTGAATCAGCAAGGGAGCAGTGAGGCCCCTGCAGAATGGTATGGAGAGGACTTTACAAAATTCATTCCTTTAAAAAGGGAAAACATTATCAAACATCATCAATGTCAACTGTTTCAAAACGGATGAATTAACCAAAGGCTTCTAACAAGCTAAGGAAAGTTAATTCAAGGGAAAAGAAAAAAGGTAAACCTTGGTGAAAACAGCAAGCCCTGTGGGGATGTCGGTTATACTACTGGCAGATACATGGGTGGCCTTAGAAACCCCAAGGACCACGCTGCGGCAGAGCAACCACAGCAGCCCAACTCCAGAGGAGGCAGAACCAACCTGTCAAAACAACCAGCAGAAACTGCAAAACATTGCAGGTGCCTGAGGTGGTAGTATGGAGCCAGCAAGAGATCAAACAAAAAGCTTAAAAGGAAAAGGGCGTGAGATGTGCACAGGAGACTGAAGGCGTCCAACACAAGGTGACCTTGCAGGCTGCATACAAGCACGGGCTGTGATGTGCCCAGGGCTCTGTTCGATCGCCCTGTGACTCATGGGAACACACAAGGGAGCAAGGGAGGCACGGGGACGCTGACATGTCTCGAAACACAAAGGCCCTTGGCAAAAGCTGGGAACTTAGTTGTCTAAGACACTTCAAGAAATAAGCAAAGAGTTCAGTGGTTTCACTAGACAAATACAAACTTTATGCAATTAATAAATAAAAGCCACCAAACTTAAACAGCAACAACAAACCCATGGAATGGGGAATCTGATTGCCAGAGCGTCGAGTGTTTTTTAAATGTGTGCTTTACAATCAAAATATTAGAAACACAAAAAAATAGCAAAGTATATCTAATACATAGGACAAAAAGCAAAAAGTAGTTTAATAGAAATTGTCCCTGAAAGCCAAAGATTGAATTTAGTAAATGATGAAGATCAATTATTATAAACAGATTCAAGGACCTAAAAGAAAACAATGTCTAAGGAATTGAAGAAAAATATGAATATCTCACAAAATAAAGAATACCAACAGAGAATTATTTAAAAAAAAAACAGAAACAGATATTCTGGAATTGGAAAGTATAAGAAATGAACATTTTAGCCAGGTAAGGTGGCTCATGCCTGTAATCTCAGCTACTTGGAAGGTAGAAATCAGGAGGATCATGGTTAGAGACCAGCCCAGGCAAAAAATCAGTGAGATGCCATCTCAACCAACAAGCTGGGCATGCTGATACACATCTGTAATCCCAACTACTGGGACTGGGGATGTGTGGCTCAAGTGGTAGAGTGCCTGCCTAACAAGCATGAGGTCCTCAGTTCAAAAAAATCCAAGTACCATCAAAAAAAAAAAAAGAAATGAAAATTTCACTAGAGTGGATCAGCAGCAGATTTGGACCTGCAGAAGAAAGAATGATACCAAACAGAATGAGTACATTTAGCAAAGGAAGTGGAAGACTTGTTCACTGAAAACTAAAAAACACTGTTGAAAGAAATTAAATGCGCAGAAGAGTGGAAAGACATCCAGTGTTTTTGGATCCAGACTACAATTGTTAAAAGAGGGCCAAACGTGCTACCAGCCACCGTCCACCATCACACACTTCGCCAGACTGACAGGCTGGCCCTAAACTCATAGGAAAGCCAAAGGAGCCAAGAAGAGCTACAACAGAATACAGAGGCAGAGACTGACAACCCCAAAGTCAAATTTAGTGCAAGACTAGGGTTGTCAGGCGCCAGTAGCTCACACCTGTAATCCTGGCTACTCAGGAGGCAGAGATCAGGTGGATCGCAGTTCTAAGCCAGCCTAGGGAAATAGTTGGCAAGACCCTGTCCAGAAAAACTCTTCAAAAAAAAGGCTGGTGGAATGGCTCAAGGTGGAGGCCCTGAGTTCAAGACCCTGTAGTACAAACAAACAACAAAAAAAAGACTAGGGTAATGGTTTAAGGCTGAACCTAGAGATCAGAGACGTGGAAGCCCGAGTCCAGAAGCAAACCTAAAATTCATGGGCAATAGTTTCTTGATAAAACCACTCAATGCAGAAAGGAGAGTCTTTTCAACAAATGGTGTTTGGCATGCCAGATTTCTACATGCAGAAGAGGTGAGTGGGTCCCCTACCTCACACTATATGCAAAAATTAACTCAAAATGGATCAAAAGCCTCAAGCTAAGCGATGAAAACACCTTTTGATAGGCAATGGTTTCTTAGACACTAAAAGCACAAGGAAAAAAACATGACTCACACAACTCAACAAAACCGGGACAAGAAACTGAGCAAACATCTTTCTGAAGAAGATATACCAAGGCCTAAGAGGACATCAAAAGACACTCAACGTCATTAGTCCTCAGGGAAGTGGCAAATGAAAACAGAATACCACTTCACATCCATCACAGTCGTAAGTGGAGCACAAAGCGTGGCAAGGACGAGCAGGGAGCCCTGACACGCTGGGTGGGGCTGAGGGTGGAGCGCAGCGTGGGAACCACCCTGGCAGGTGTTTCAGCACATCAACCCTTAAGTTGCCACACTACCCAGCTAAGTACCCATGAAACTGCACACAGATGTCCCCACAAAAGCAGAGCACATTGCAACACATTCACAATAGCCTACTGATGCAATTAGCCTGGGCGCCCATCATGGATGAATGCGTAAAGAAAATCTGGAGTTTTGTTGACAATGGAGTTGCATTCAGTCCTAAAAAAAAATGATATTCTGTCATTTGCATGAAAATCATTTGCATGAGATCATGTTAGGTAAAATAAAGCAAACTCACACAAATACCGCATCTTTTCTCTCATATACAGAATCTAGATTTTAAGAAGACATGAAAGTAAAAGGGAGACTACCTGGGAAGAGGAAAGGGAGACAGGAGGGGGTTAAGAGACAGTATTGTATTGGGGGGTGAATATGATCAAAGTCCATCAAATACATGTATGAAAATGTCATAAGGAAACCCATTATTTTGTTCAGCTAATATATACCAATAATAAAGAATGGAAAAAAAGTTTAAAAAAAATAGCACAGCACAAATGTTTAAGTGGTGTTATTTGTTATATCAGAAAGGTGAAAACAACCCACGTGTCCATAAACTGATAAGGGGTATGTCCACCTGATGGAAGGTTGTGTAATCATAATTAAACAATGGTGATGACTCAAAGCTAATACATGCTACAACATTAACCTTAATGCTGCTATGACTTAGACCTTGTTTAATGTGTCCTCCAAAGGTTCACGTAGAGGGAATTTGGTCCCCAGTTCGGTGATGGTAAGAGGTGGTGCAACCTTTGAGTGGAGGTCATTTGGGGTGCTGGCCTCAGAATGGATTAAGGTAGCTCTCATGAGACCCTGAGTTAATTCTTAAGAGAGAGTTGTTACAAAAAAAAAGACAACCCATCCCTGCTTTAGCTTTCTATCTCACCATGTGATCTCTCCCTCTTGGCACGCTCCTGCCATGATGCCATCACCGTGATATGTCACAGTCAAGGGTGCCTTGGCCACAACCAGTATAATTCTTTGGGACTTTGATCCTCCCGTTTCAAAAACAGACTTGTCTATTATTGAGCTGTAACAGTTTTCGGTGTATTTTCTTGATGTGCTTTTGGTATCTAAGAAACCACTGCCTAATCAAAAAGCTTGAAGGTTTACTCTTAAGTGAACTAAATAAATCTTTTTTCTTTATAAAGTACCCAGCCTTGGGTATTTCATTACAATAATGGAAAAGTGAGTAAAACACATTAAGCGAAAGAAGTTAGTTATAAAAGACCACACGTTGTTGTATCATTCCATTTATACTAAATGTCCAGAATGGAAAGACCCACAGAGACAAAAAGTAGATTCCTGGTTCCCAGGGGGTAAAGGACAGGGGAATGGAGCCTGACTGCTCATGGGCACTGAGTCTTTCAGAAGTGATAAAAATGCTCTAAAAGTAATTGTATACTAACCACACAGTGGATATCATGGTGTTTAAGAGTTTCTAAAATTAAGAATGACAGACAAGGTATCACCACTGATCTTACAAAAATAATGATTATAAAAGAATACTATGAGCAACTGAAGTGATCAAGACGAAATGGACAGATTCCTGAAAAGACACAAAAAACAAATGGCATATCTGAACATAGCTGTAGCAAAGAAAATGAATCAGTCATCAAGAACCTTTCCACTGGATAGGTGCCTGCCTACGACCAAAAAAAGAAAGTCAGAAACTTCCCACAAAGAAAGGCACAGACCCAGCTGGATCCACTGGTGAATTCTAGTCATACAAAAAATACTAATCCTTCACAAACTCCAAAAAATAGAAGAGAAAGGGAACACCTCCAAACTTAGTCTGAGACTAGTATGAACCTGACAGCAAAACCAGTCAAAGAAAGCCGTCGCAATAAAACTACAGGGATCTCTTATGAATACAGATGGAAAATTCTCCCCAAAATACTCAGACAGAATGCAATGACATAGAAAAAGGACAGTAGACAAAGTAGGATTTATCACAGGAATAAAACAATATTAATACCAAATATTAATAAACGACCAAAACACAAAAAAATAACAGGAAGGGGATTTGACCAGGGTTTGCTTCGAAGATGGAATAAGGGTTGTACAAAGAGTCTGTCTCTCTCCCTTTGCGGAACCAGCAAGCTGAGTGTAGGGCTTGGATTTCTGGACCCCATTACTCCCACCACCATGTGAGATCTTTGTCTAATCCCAGGCCATCTAATGGACAGAAAGAACTGTAAGTGATTCGGAGGCCTCTGTAGTTCCTAAGACACAACACGCACACAACCTCTCACTGCAAGAGCCAGATGTTAATACCGTGAAGTACCAAGAAGCAACTCCCAAACGCACCACTCCAAAACATATCTGCTAAGGTAAGTGGAAAGAAGCAGTATATTAGGATTCTTTTCTTTATGGGAAATTTTCCAAAAATAAAAAAGTTTATCACTTAATGCTAAAGTATACAGAAAACCTCCAATGTTCCCTTTAAGAGGGGAAAGATTTAAGGTAGCAATGAAACTGAAAAATCCAACGAACCTGGTCATATGTTAGAGGAGGCAGACCCTCTCCACAGACGGTTTTCTGCTCCAGATAACACTTCTCTTGAAGTGTTTTGTCCCTGGCCAAAAAGAAGCCCAACCAGGCACCAGTTGTTGAGGACGTGTGCTGTCCCGCCAGGAGCAGCCCGATAAGCATCCCTGCTACTTCATCATCTGTCAGTGGGTGCCCGTCCCTAGGGAATGAACCACACACACCAGCTCATCATTGTGGCAGACACATCTCGTGCCTCCACCTTTAAATAAAGAGTTGTAAGGAACACCTGTTTCAGGTATTATCATCTCTTTCATTGGCCTACTGCAAATAAGAGTCCCCAGACCCACAAGAAGAGCCCAGCCAGTAGAAAACAAGATTACAAAAGATTTCATTACATATTAGCCAATTTTCACTATGCACAATCACTGGCTTTCCAGTAAGGCATGGGATCCCAATAATTTACATTTTAATAATTTAAAAGGGCCAAAGGTCATAGTTGTCACCTCCTGTTTTAACTAGAAATATTATTTAACCATGCTTCCATGGGTAATTTCCTGACTCAGCTTAACAGGTGATCTGATCAGCTCTTACTTGTACGTAGAGTTTAGTAAAGTTTGGAGAAAGTCATCAATGTTTTCTTCGGACTGCCTGCGTTTCTGGATTGCCTTATAGAAAATATTCTTGATCTCCCGATGGGCTCTGTCCCTGCGTCTGTAATCCAAAAATAAAAATGATTTTTTTTTAAATAGCTTAAGGCACTCTTTATTTATTTAACAACTCTAAAATAAATCACAAAAACTCAGAACCAAGGGGGGAAAAAAAGAAGTTATAAAACTCTTATACTGTTAAGAATTTTTATGGAGCAAGGCAGATTTCTTTCTTTTTTTTTTGGCAGTACTGGGTTTGAACTCAGGGCCTTGAGCTTGCTCTACCACTTGAGCACACGGTCCCCAGTCCATTTTTGCTTTAGTTATTTTTCAGGTAGGGTCTCACTTTTTTTGCCTGGGAACAGCCTCAGACAGCAAACCTCCTAAATACAGGTTCTTTTGTAACTGGGATGACAGGCACGTGCTACCATGCCCAGCGTATGGACTGAGAGGTAGTATGTCACTAACTTTTGCCCAGGCTGGCTTGGAACCACAATCTTCCTGATCTCCGCCTCCCAGGTAGCTGGGCTTTACAGCCACCATGCCCAAGAAAATCTCAGATTCTTATTAATGTATTACCTATCTTCTCACTAACAACCTAAAATAAGCATGAAATCCCTTTACAAGCATTTTTCAGTTCAACAGAAAGCTCAAACGCTTTTAAATGAACATGAAATACTAATTTTAGCCAAATTAATTCTTGAAGCACAACAGTCATTCTGGTTCCTCTAGAGATTTGAGAATACTTTTCACCTAAAACAACATAGTTTTTGCAGGGGTAAAATACTAATAGATTCAGAAAACAAGTTTCAGCTCCCAAAACTCTGCCCTTAAAAACAGTGCTATGTAGCAAGTTCTGAGACATAGATATTATTCTCCTATGTTCACAGAAGCCAGTAAGCAATGAACCTGAAACATAAAGCCAGACAATGACCCCAAACCCCCTTTAAATCAAGCCCTCTAATAAAAAGCTTGCCCTATTTTACTTGCAAGACTGCTATTGAGAATTAACTGAGATATGTACAGAAAGGAAGAAGACAACCCAGCTGAACCAGTTGAACAGTGTGAACAGAGCAGAGCCAGGAAAACAGAAGGCCTGTTTAAGAAGGTAAATGGAGGTGTGGCTCAGTGGAAAAATATATGCTTAGTATGCGTGAGACCCTGTGTTCAATCTCCAGCACCAAAAAATAAATAAAAGGAAAGTGAGTGAAATAATTTAATCAGCTGGTCTAAAAACTAGGCTCAAGAATTCTGATTTAACCCAGGAGATAGGCTGGATACACAGTTACAGAAAACCGACTACAGACTGAGAGCTGTGCTGGGTGTTCTAACGTAATCATGAAAGCATTTTTAAAAACTGCAAAACTTCTTAAAATATTAAGGTGCTACAAGTCCCAGAGAACTCTAGAGAACCTCTCCCGACTTTCCCTTTAACTTCTGCCCTTTTATTTGGTAACTAGAAGGAAGGAGGAGACATAAAAGGCAAGGGACTGTCAACTTAACTCTCCCAATCTCTCACCTAACAGAAGTGGTCCAGCAGAGCACAGAAACCTGTTCACATGCAGACCGCTAAGCTTACATCAAGTCCTAGGGAAAGTGCCTCTGAAACAGAGACAGCCCCTGCTCTCATGGAGCTCACAGTACAGTTGGCAAGGAACCAAACAGAAAATTAAATGAAAGCACAAGAAAGACGTTTCACAATGTACACACTAGACACACTACGAAACCATCAGAGACTTTCAAACACATGCTTAAAAGCATGCTGCACTGTGTGGTCACCCACCATTCAATCGTGTCCCAATAAGTCTTTGTTTTCTCCAACTCTGTCTTGGTAAATTCTTTTACCAACTTGTGGCTTTCCAAAATTCATGACATAAAATGGGGGCCCTTACGGGGATTAATACAGGAATTCAAAGAACTCCTTTCTTTTTATACCAGACAAGGATACAATTGCAGGTCTCTGGCCAGGACAATCCCCAAGATGAGGTCCAAAAGTCTCCTCTTTCCAATGTCTAGAACCCATTTCCCTTAGGGGTGAAGGACCCGAGATTTACATAAACTCTTCGGTGGAACGACCTACTTCCTCTGAAATCTGTGGGTCTCTAGCCAGGTCAACTCTCTGGTGAAATCCCCCCACCCAAAAAAAAAACCAGAAAAAAGGGGTCTACTCACCTACCCATGAGGGTCAGGAGCCTGTCTGTCCTTTCCCCACCTCCACCATACAGTGAAATGAGCAGTGGAAACTCAGCAGGCCAACCTGTGTATGCTACAGGGGACCCTACCTCTCTCCTCACACTTTTACTTTCAAATCCTCTTACCTACAACTCTGATGACATCATCTCAGCCCTGTGGAAGGATTATTTTTGCCCTGTGGAAGGAGCTGCAGTACCAGTGGCCATAAAATTACAAATGATGCTGCAATGTAGGTTGCATCCCCTACCACTGATCCTCCAGTGCCTCTTAGCCCCCTGGACCAGGCTTCATACAATTTTATTTTAGTATTCAATTAGATCCTGCAATATCCCTGCAGAGTACCCCATCATCCTCTGCCAGAAAAACAAATACATCACCAGAGGCATCTTCATGACCTTACCAGCCTTGAAACAGCTACAAAATGACCTCCACCCCCCTAAAAGCAGGATTGCTTTTATTTTTCAGTCAGGGGGAATGTGGAGGAAAATCCCCCATTTATTCTGGCATGGCAGGAACAAAATACCAAAAGCCAGATGGAATGAGGAAGGAGAAGCTGAGTTAAGGAGATGTCTGTCAAACTCAAACCATGGTCAGAGAAAAGGAAAACCAATAATTAAGGTCCACAAAAAGGGAGACAGCCAACCAAAAGTGATCTAACCCAAAATATAAAACCTATTCTCAACCCTGTCTTGTCATGCTCCTTTGCATAGGTGCCCACCATTCTATCCCCTTTCAATGGTGTTCTAATAAATCTTTTTCTCTTAAAAAAATCTGGGGGGGAGGCTGTATCTTCCTCAGGTACAGTTCAGAGTCTTTCCTATGTACAAGGAGTGCGTGAGGTAGATTTCAAAATATAAGAAGCCACCTTTTTTAATGAAATGAAACTTACTTTAAGCGATCTCACTAAAGAAAATCTGCCTTGAATTCTTATAAAAGAATGTAGGTTCATCCTCCCCCCAAAGATGAAAACATACCAACATTATGTAGTTATGGAAAGTTTAAAAACTAAGTGCAATTGTGTTCATCCATACCTGAAACTAGGCAGAGGCAGCCAACCTGGCAACAGCCAGGCTGCATGGGTAAAACCTCCATCCAAATCTGCATACAGCTGTGCAACCTTCTCATTGAGTTGACTTCTGATTTCCTTTCCATGTAGACAATGGCTGGCTGTTAAAATTATGAGCTCAGAAAGCGCTTCAAACAAATCTGCGGGGGGAAAGGATCATTCTAATTAATATTTTCAAAGACTCTTTTGAAATGCTATTTTCTTGAAAACATAAAGATTATGAAGGAAAATTGAGAATAAAAAAACTAAAGAACATTCAAGCATGGTGGTGCGCGTATAATCACAGTTACTCAGAAGGAGAAGGGATGAAGATCATGAGTTTGAAGCCAGCCTGGGCAAAGTTAGCAAGCCTCTATCTCAAAAAAAAAAGAGGGGTGGGGGGCAGGGAGACATAGCGGAAGAGTGCTAACCACAGGGCCCTGGGTTCAGTCCCTAATATCCCAAAAAAACACCTAAAGAACAAGATCCCATTCATACCACAAAAAGTCCACAGATAAATATGTGGTTATGCAGAACACTGAAGGCAATAATCCAGAGGGATGCTCCTCTGGTCAGCCAAAAGAGATACCACAAATGCATCTCTAAACCTCATCCATAAGTTCTTCAATACAAAAAGATAAAATGGAAAAATAAATGTGCTTATCTGATTTCCAGATCACAGTGCAAAAATGTTATTTAAGGCATATGGACAGTAACGAGGTACCTCCCAAGAAACAGCAGTCCAAGACCAAAGACTAGATTTTCCCAATCAAATGCAGAAGATCGGACCTAACATTGAAGTCTTAGTGATATTTGGAAGAAAACCATAGAACTAATTACCAGTTGGTTATAGCCCAGCATTGGAGACAGATACATCAGGCAAGCACACTTTGTTGACACTTAAAAGTCATAAAAAATATCCCAATACTTCCCTGTCTTTAATTTTGCATTCATCAAATGAACTTCCAATTAGATTTGTCAAAAAAGAGCAAATATTCTGGTTCTCTTGATGCTATAATCATATACCTCACACGTATTTATTAAATTGGCATTCTGGCCAGGCATGTTGGCAAATGCTATAATCCCAGCAATAAGAAAACTGAGACAGAAGGATAGTGAGTTCAAGGACAGCCTGGGCTACACAGAAAGACCCTGTATAAAAAATACAAATAGGCATTCTAATATGTGTATATGTTCACTTCTTGTACAGTTAGAAAACACACATCACCTTTAGGTGTACTAAAAATAGAACCAAGTTTCTAGACCTTTTATAGAAGCTAAACTCAAACCACAATGAGGTGATGTGCTGCCGTGAGTCCGCTGGCTTGTGAACAAATGTTGCTTCCTGCTATAGACATGGTGCTGGCCTCTGACGGCAATGCTTGCTTCAGTCAGAGTGAAGGCTGCATTCAGTCACGACTCCAGAATGTGCCCCTCTCGTTAAAACCAAGGTACTTGCACGCATATAGAAAGTACTTTGTTTTACATATACACACATATACATACTCCACATCTCTAGTCACAGAAAGAATAACAAATGCAAAAGTTTTGCTTACTTTTTTCTCCACTTTCTCCCCAACTTTCAAAGTATTCTTTTGTTTCTTTTTCAATTATAGAAACATGCTGTTTAAAGTGGGCTATGTTAAGGCCACTTTTTAACATTTTCTTCTGCTCCAAGAAAACCTTCAAAAATGGAGTTACACAGCATTAAAGCACATTTTATCCTAGATCTGTTAGGTTACTCTAACTACATAACACTCAAAAGAAAACATTTTCAAAACTGAACATAAAAGTAGCAAAGGGATTTTTAAAAATTATACCAGAGATGGGAAACATGGACCATCTATACATATTTGACGTAACATGTAGAAAGGTGTCTGCTACCAGGGTCCTAGACAAATGACAAACTAGGGACCCACCTGTGTCCTTCCCATACACCCTTTCCCACCCTCTCATGTTCCCTTCTTCTATTATGGCTCCCTTCCAGTCTTCCAACCTAATACAGATGCCAAAATAATTTCCCAAAGGTCCACTATACTTTGATATTACTTTTATCCTCCTCAGTTTTTCTTTTAAATTTCTCATGATTCTTCAAATTTTTTAAACCTAGGAATCAATTCTTCCTACATTATAAATGTATCATATTATACTTCGAACTACCCTATTATGTTACAGATCTGTCTCTGCTCAAGATAACAGTGTCACCTACCGCATTAGGCACATCATACGCAACACCCTTTCCAAAGACGGGTGTTGTCAGACGGCCATAGACATCTTCTGCGTTCAGATCCTCATTTTTACTGTTAAACAGCAGTGCAGCAGCATCACTCCCCAGGAGGTAAGTAAACGTCTTTCCCACCATGGTGAAACTAAATACAGGTCCATACTAAAGAAAGAGAGGTACCCATAGTGATGTTACATAAAAATTCGCAAGACTAAGGCACTAATTTCTTAAGTCACAAAATAAGACACTGTTGAAAAACTCTGTAACATCATAAGTCTTAAAACAATACTGTTTACATTGCTAATTATATGCATCTAGTTGCAAATGCAGTATTAATGCAACTTTTGTTCTTTTTTCACTGTTTTTTTGTTTGTTTTGTTTTGTTTAAGGGACTGAGGTTTGAACTCAGGGCTTCATGCTTGCAAAGCAGGCGCTCTACTGCTTGAGCCACGCCTCCAGTACACTTTGCTCTGGTTATTTGGGAGATGGGGTCTCACAAACTATTTGCCTGGGCTGGCCTCAAAGCTCAATCCTCTCTTGGACTTGAACTGCAATCCTACTGATCTCAGTTTCCCAGACAGCTAGGGTTACAAGCATGATACACTAACATCCGGCCAGGGTTTGGTTGGTTGGTTGTTTGGTTTTTACTTAATATTCAGAATTCTATAATGAACATCTCTGAGAATATACTTTCTTTTCTTTAGTTAAAATAAACGTACAAGAGTAGCCAAAAGATAGGACCTTTTCTATAGTACTGGTTATTGAAGACACTAGAAGTTTACTTAATTATCAGTTTTACACTATCTCACCAACACTGAATGAGTTAACTTTGTGATTATTTTAACCTTGTTAGGTGTTAAGTGCTTTATCTTGCAGTTCTTTTATTATTATTGAAGACTAGTCCCTGAGGAGGCAACCATGAAAAAAAAATACTGTCCCTGACTCATGAAGTTTTATCTATTGGGAAAGTTACAAATTAATCAAATAATCACATTAACAAATGCAGAACTGCAAATACGACAAGTATACAGAAAGGAAAGCTACAGTGTGACTAGACAATCTAAAACACGGAGACCCAGTGAGGCGCTTGTGGCTCAGGTCTGTAGTTCTAGCTACTTGGGAGGCTGAGGTTGGGAAGATCGTGATTCAAGGCCTGCCTGGGTAAACAGTTTGCAAGACCCTCATCTCCAAAAATAACCAGAGCAAAATGGATGGAGGTGTGGCTCAAGCAGTAGAGTGCCTGCTTTGCAAGCATAAAGCCGAGTTCAAACCCTAGCACCACCCAAAAAAAAAAAAGGCTAAACAGGAAAACATACATGGGCTAAACCTCAAGTATGAGCATGAGTTAGGTCCTAAAGGTGAAAGGTTCTAAGCTGCACAAAGGTCCTAAAGGAGAAAAAAATAAAAGATAAAGGAGAAAAGATGAGATGAGATGATATGAGATGACATGAGATGACATGAGATGAGAGTCAAGAGTCAGGCAGGGCCTAGACATAAAGAGCCTGATGAGCCGGGCACTGGTGGCTCAAGCCTGTAAGCCTAGCTACTCAGGAGGCAGAGATCAAGAGGATCGTAGTTCAAAGCCAGCCTGGGCAAATAGTTCCATGAGACCCTATCTCGAAAAATCCTTAACAAAAAGGGGCTGGTGCAGTGGCTCAAGGTGTAGGCCCTGAGTTCAAGCCCCAGTACCACAAAAAAAAAAAACCACCTGATGAAACATATTAAGGAACTTTTTCCTTGCAAGCAATGGAAGACCATGAAAAAGTGGCGAAGACACATTAATCTATGTGTGTATAAATACACAGCATATATTTGGGAATACTGAGAAAAATCTCTATGCACTTTAAAAAGACGTTTCCCCTGCTGTGTGCAAAAGATGGAGAGGCAGAAGCAGAGCAGAGGGATGTGGGAAGACCAGTTTGAGCCCACTGCAGAAACTTAACAAGCACTTGAACAAGGTAATGGTGACATAAGGGAGGAAGAAGCAGATAGAATAACTAAGCTATTTTGGAGACAGAATATCCAGACGTGGCAATGGATTAAGAGAGGGAGAGGAAAATATCAAGAAAGAATTTTATGCTTCTGGTACATTGCAAAATAGGAAAAACAATGATAAAAGACTAGGATAGGATGACCAAAATTGGAGAGAGAAAAACGAGGGGTTAAACATTAGAAATACTAGCTTTCGGATGCCTTTGAGACAACTAAGAGAAAGAATCATGTGAGAATTGGACATCCAGGTTTGTGGCCCAGAGAAGAGATCTGAGCCAAAAGGCATTCGTGTGTCATCTACGTATGGCCCGCAATTGAAGCTGCAAGTAAAGAGAACACTTAGAAAATAAAGGAACAGGACTGAACCTTAAAGAACCCCAACAGTAATGGCCAGTATCTGCCCACAATCGAGTTACAAAACAGGTCAAGTCCACTGGACATGGAGCTCATTGATGAAGGGCCTAGAAGAAAGACCAGAGTGGACTGAAGAGTTTGTGGAAATAAGAGACAGAGAGTACAGACAAGTCATCAAAGTGAGAGGGGGATGAAAGGAGACTGGATGGTTTAGAGAAGCTCTTCTAGCCAGGTGCCAGTTGCTCATGCCTGTAATCTTACCTATTTGGGAGACAGAGATCAGGAGGATCACAGTTAGAGAGGCAGAGATCAGGAGGATCACGGTTCAAGGCCAGCCTGGGCAAATAGTTCATGAGACCCCCAGCCCCCATTTCCAAAATAACTAGAGCAAAATGGACTAGAGGTGTGGCTCAAGTAGTAGAGTTCCTGCTTTGCAAGAACAGAGCCCTAAATTCAATCTCCAGTTGCACCAAAAAAAAAAAAAAAAAATGAGAGAGAGAGAGAGAAGTTTTGCTCTTCTTAAATGAGCAACACTTGAATGTTTTTAGAGAAAAAGGAAAGAGACCCAGTTAAGAGAGAAGATGCACACTGAGAGCAGAAATAATATGTTACAGTTCCTGAGGCAAAAGAGAGGATGGAAAGTTCAGCCTCCAATACAATAAAATTAAGGTGGTAGAACACAGTGAGTTACAGCACAAGATTCTGGTACCAGATTTCCTGGGTTCAATCTCAGCTCCTCCACAGATTAGCTGTGTGACCTTCACCCCTTAGTCAGAAAACAACCTTTCTGTGCTACAGTTTCTCTCATCTATAAAATGATAATAACGAAAATAAGTACCCCTTCGTAGAACTGCTATCAAGGTTATATAAAATATCTGGAGAGGACAGAAAAAAGTCCCTCGGCCATAGTAAATGCAACTTTCTTTCTGTTATTATTATCACTACTATTATTAAAAACCTAGGCTCAGCCAGGCACTCAGGAGGAGATCAGAAGGATCACAGTTCAAAGCCATCCTGGGTAAACAGTTTGTGAAGCCCTATCTCCAAAATACCCCACAAAAAAAGGGCTGGTGGAGTGGCTCAAGTGGCTGAGTGCCTACAAGCATAAAGCCCTAAGTTTAAATCCCAGCAGAGCCAAAATAAATGAATAAACAAGTCAATCAATCCTAGGCCCAGAAATTAATTCATATACAGCTAAAAAGGTCAGCAATGACCACAACAACAAATACATAATCTCTGTTTCTCAATTTTGTTATCTGTAACATGAACATTCCCGAAGGAGTTTTTAAGGAGCTTCACTAAAAGAAATCTATGAAAAACACTGAATCCTGATATAAAGTAAATGTTTTATAATTATTTCTGTGATAGGAAGAGGACAGAATTATGTAGACATGCACAGGTTTGTGTGTTTGAAATTGAGAATATAAGGGAGTTCTCATTGGATGTTTTTAAATCACTTTTCAACTAGGAGGCAAAGTCAATTGCTTTGATGGAGAAGTAGAGTCAGAAGTTTACACAAGGTTTCAATTAGTCATCGTAGTAAGGGGGAAGCCAATCACAGGAACATAATAAAATTGCTGAGCAGTATTAAATCTCATGCAAGATAGGCAATCAAGAAATTAGCGGCTCAAGGAGTAGAGTGCCTACCTAGCAAGCACGAAGCCCTGAGTTCAAACTCCAATGCTAAAGAAAAAAGAAAAAATGCCCTTAAGAAATTAGGAAGGAACCAATCTAGTATGAGGATGAAGAAAATAAGTAACTGTCTCTCACCACAGTTGATGTTTTGCCAAGTGAGCACAACTAAAAGATCCAGAGACAAAGAAACTGAAGGTAGTGGCAACAGTGTAACTGAAGTGGTAGACCATGCAGCCAAAGTGGAAAAAGAAGAACAAGAAAGAAGGCTGAGAAATGGAAACAAAGTAAATAGGAAAATGAACTGGATCTAGTAGTCTAAGAATGATTATAATCAGGAGAGTTGCACCAGCAAACCAGGAGAAGGCATGGCCTAAGAATAGAGTGACTAAATTAACTTAATGAGGTGAAACAGTTAACAAGTCCAAAGCAGGACCATGGTGAATGGCAGAATTGACACGGGAAAGCTGATTAGAGAGGAGTGGGCAAAGATCTGAGTGCCCATGATACCCTGTGTGTCCATTCAAGTGGAGAGGGAAGTCAGGAGGATAGGTAGAGCAAGTTAGAAAATTCCAAAGTTGCATGCTTAAGAAAAAAAGAGGGTCAATTTTATCAATTGTAACTACAGTCAATGAAAAAAATTAGAAGTGTTTTTAAAACCATAATTGCCACAACTACAGGATTCCTCAGCAGTGTCTGAGAGACTGTTCCAGAACACTGGGAAAAGCTAAAAGGGTAGGGTCTACAAGTCTTTCCATCTCTTAAACAAGAGCGTTTTCAGTTTTATGTTTTCTATAGCATCAATAAGCATAGTGTCACAATTTTTTAATGACTCGTGATTAAAAAGAAAGGTTTGAGAAGCAATTAAGTAGTTTCTTTGCCTCTAATTATTTGAAAACTTACCTTATCATATGCATTTTCTAGGAATTCAATTGGACTTTTCCCAAATGCTATGGCATGCCCAAGGAATGGAATTGGAGAGTAAATGTACGGTGGACTTTTCTGCAAGAGAAAAAAAATTATTTTTCAGTTTTCATTCCACTTGAAGAGAAAAATCCAGTTTAGTTTCATGACCAAACAACTAAATGGACACCGGTAGTTCACACCTACAATCCTAGTTACTCAGGAAGTGGAGATCTGCCCAAAGCCAGCCTGGGTAAAAAGTGAGACTCTATCTCAAAAACACTCAACACACGCGCACACACACACACACACCCCAACAAAGAGCTGGTAGTGTCTCAAGTGGTAGAGCGCCTGCCTAGCAAGCATGAGGTCTTGAGTTCAAACCCTAGAACCACAAAACAAAAAAGTTACTTAAGTGTGAAGCACCAAAAAAGCAGCCAAACTGCCAGTATCTTTGAAGAGAAGCTACAGTTAAAAAGAATAGAAACTCAAAGCATAGCAAAAGATAAATGATTCAATGAATAGGGCACTGCAATTTTAAAAGACAGGCACTTCAAGAATGTCCAATAGTACTAGAGGCTCCAGGCAACTTTTCTAACCATAAGTAAAAAGAAAGAGAGAGAGAGAGAGAGAGAGAGAGAGAGAGAGAGAGAGAGAGAGAGAGAGAGAAGAAGGGAGGGACAAAGAAGAAAAGAAAGCAAGTCAAGCCATCTTTCCTTAACTTCAACTACCACTCACAATTTCAGCCCCAGAACCTTGCCTAGAGAAGGAATAGAAAAAATCAAACATCACAATAGCCAAACCACTGAATCAGCCTGGCTGCCCATCAATCAATCAATGAACAAATAAAGAAAATATATATACAATGAAGTATTATTTAGCTATAATAATGAAATTGTCATTTGCACACAAATGAGCTAGAGATCATCATAAACAAAGATAAGCCAGACTTGGAAAAACAAACACAGCATGTCTTCTCTCATATGTAGAATCTAGTCCTAAAAAAAAAAATCAAAACAAAAAAAAAAATAAGGACACACATGCAAAAGGGAACTGTTTGGGGAGGGTAACCAGTGAGAGGAGAAGGTGAAAGGAGAGCTGGTGATGGGGGTCAATGTGATTGAAGTACATTATATGCATGTATGAAAACAGAATAATGAAACACATTAAAAATTGTAAAAAAAAAAAAAAAAAGGGGGGGTGCCAAGAAAGAGGAGGTGAATGTGATCAAAATACATTATATGCATGTATGGAAATATCACAATAAGCCCCACTGTAAAATTAAAAAGAAAATAAAAATATTTCTAGTTAGGACTATGTGAGTTAAAGAGTATGGATTTTTTTCACTAAAAATAGCATTAACATTTTCCATCTTAAAAATGCATATCATTATTATTGTCTATATTCTGTAGTACTGATTTTTTTTCTCCTCTAAAGGATTTATAGCTGTATTTTAAGTTTTTTGAGATAATTTTATATTTTCTTTCACCTTAATTTTACATATTATACCATGGTGGTCAGGAAAGAAAAAGAGAAGGGGAGAGGGAGAGGGAAGGAGTGTTGAGGGAGCAAGGGAGGGAGGGAGAGAGGGAGGAAGGAAGGAAGGAAGGAAGGGAGAGAGCCAAACAGCTACAAAGTAGAAAGCAAGGAAATGTTTAAGCTACACTACAGTGAACAGAACATAGACCATGTTTCTCTCACTGAAAAAGAATTAGATCCACTGATTTTAAGAAGTAAAACAACTCCAGAAGAAATTCTCTAGCACTCACCATAAAAGGTACTTTTGATGCTGTAAAACCTGCAGATTACACGACTAAGACTCCTGGAAATCAAACTTAGAATGATTTAAAAAAAAAAGTCTTTGGCGGTCTCAAAAAGAACATCACAACCTCACAGCACTCCTCAGATAATAAGAACAACTTTGAACACTAATGGTATCTTTGTTTTCCAAATGATAAATACCACTTCGTCAAAAATCTCACGTGCAGGAAAAATAATAAAAGTTACTCGGCCTCATGCCCGTTACGGTTCCAACAAAAACTATTTTAAGAGCTACTTGGTCAGAACCTAGTGCTAAGTACAACGTACTTCAGTTGGCACGTTCCCTTGTCGGTGTTCAAAGGGTAGTTTTCAAAAGGTACCTGGCGTTGAATGTTAAGGGTGCATTTATCAAATACACTGGGAAGTTTGAAGCAAGTGGTCAAAAAAGCTGCTAAATTAGAGAAACTGATACGTGAACAGCGTGATAGGAAAGCCATGTCCACACTCTAGTCACCGCCTCTACCAAACTGAACACATACACCCTAATACTGAAATAAGTCGCTATTAGGGACAATGCCATGGCCTACCGGCCCCTAAACCACACAGGCAGGCCCCAGGGCCACAACGCCGCGACGCCAGCCAGCAAGGCCACCGGGGCGCTCAGGACCACAGCCAGGGCCAGGCTGCCAGACAGACCACGGCAGGTAAGGCCACCAGTACTACAGCCATCACTGCTCAGCAAGAACGACCTGATCGCGGCTAGAGAGGCACACGGTCCTCCCGGGGTGGCCGCGGTGCTGGGGACCGTGCTGGTCGCCGCGATTCTAGTGGCAGGCGAAGCCGCGGTGGTCGCGACTGTTGGCGCCAACAGCAGCAGCCGTGCAGTCGCTTCGGCCACCACCCCATCCCCCAGCGCGCCACGCCAAGCACGGCTGCGGTGGCCGCCACCAGCGCCAGGACAGAATCCAAGCCCGGCCAGCCGGGCGGGGGCATCGATCAGCACACAGTCGGTCCCGGACTCCGCAGCGCGCACGTACCGCTCCGGGTGGCAGCTGGACCATGTGGCTGACAGCGAGGCGGAACAGGTAAACCAGGCTGAGGGTGAAAGCGCAGGCGATCAGTAGCGTGGAGAGGAGGCTGCCGCCTGTCACCTGCTCCATTGCCTGTCCCAGCACCGACCCACCCGCCTGCAGTAAGCCCAGCAACACCATCCTGGCTGCAGCTTCACTCCACCGGAGACACTAGTGGAGGCCGAGGTCGCCGCCGCTCCGCAGAATAGAGGGAGCAAGAGAAGCTGGCAGATGCGCGTTGGGAGGCGGCCCCGGCCTCCCGGTTTCCAACTAAACCTAACGCCACCCCGACTCGCCACCCTCCCGCGCGCCACCCCGTGCGTCACGGAACGGGGCGGGGTCTTCCGGGGGCCACGCCCATACATAGCACTCCGTGATGCCGAGGTCTCCCTGCGCCGTACCGAGGGCCTGAGGCAGCGGGTTGCACCGGTGGCACGAGGGGTACAGGGATGGAAGAGAGTTGGCTTAGGAGGCGATCCCGCCTGGGAAGCCGCGGGTCGCCCGCGCCAGTGCGTCTGGGGTGCGCGGCGCCAGGACACCGCGCGGGAGGGGCCTGGCGGAGGGATCTGCGATGGGGCCGGCGCCGTGCGGCCGGCGCGCTGTGATTGCACCACGCGCGCCTGAGGTGATCTCGGCCTAGGTCGCGTCAGCCGCGCGGGGGCTGGGGCGCCGCCCCTGCGGGACGCGCGGGCTCGCGGCACCGGGCTGGCTCGGGTGTACCTCTCCCGGGCATTCCAAGAGTCCACCCCCGCTTTTCCCTGGGGACTCGGAGACCGGCAAAGTGAGGTCCCAAAGACACATCACACCGACGGGTGGGACAGTGAGGTCAGCCTGGTCCTAACTAATTAAACCAGTTGACGGTGTTAATGTGTGGCCATAAAGCTAACTGGTGATGGTGAGTTCAAAACAGCCCTTCCGAGGACTGGAGGCGTGGCTCAAGTGGTTGAGCACCTGCTTTGCACACCCCAAACATGAGTTCAAACTCCAGTACCACCGAAAAAAAACAAAAAAAGAGAGCGAGATAAACAGAAGCCTCCCACGGAGATGGCATTGGAAGTCGTGAAGACTTTGAGGCCACGTTTCCCAAGTACACCTGTCAGTCTGAGGATTCAGTGGTCAAAGATTTTCGGACAGTGTTACCTTGATCTCATACGGTCCTGTGGCTTCAAATGTAAGCGTCTCTGATAACATGACTACCAAACTTAACCCCCCTCCCAGACCAGATTCACTTATTTATTCAATCAACGTTAAGAGCTGGGTTTTGTGCTAAGCTGGGGATGCGGCAATGGACCAGACAAAACTGCAAGGCCCTCCAGGGATAAGTAGGAATGTCTAATTGCCTGCTACACGCCTGTGCCTAAAGATCTCGCATCTCATCTCAGCAAATACAAAAACTGAAATCATTATCCCCTCTCACCCCTCTGCCAAACCTGCCCTCCTGTAATGCCTGGGTAAAAAGGGACCACTATGCACCCTGTTTTCCTCCTCCTCCAGCCTTCACATCTGATCCAAATCCTAAAATCCTACCATCTTAAAAGTGTCTCCATTCCTATTGTCACTGCCTTAGGTCCTTACCTCATTTCTCATCTGCTTTACTGCAACAGAATCCTATCTGGTCTTCCTACTCCCTACCTTGTCTTTATCCTGTACACTACTGCCACTTCTTGAATCATTAAAGTGAGTTTGGGCCACAACTCCCAAAGACACAATCCTGAACAACATAATTCCAATTGTTGAAATCCTGAAAGGTCAAAATCCTTAAAATATAATTCTGGACAAATTAATTCTTTTTTTAAAAAAAAAGCATTTATTTACATTATTAAAGAGAGATTTATTTGAGAAATATAAAAAAGCAGCAAAATACTTCATAGGCCACTTTATACGAATAGGCAACAAAATACATATTTTTACAAGCAGAAACATTTAGGTATACTGATAGTTACACTAGTGTTAACAGTTATGAGAAGATGAATGGTTATTCATAAGGAAGTTGGTTAAAAATGAATATTGATCCATATCTTTGTAGCTGGTAATTGTGTGCACTCAGCTCTGTCACTACAGTCACCCGAAATACCAAAACAACACCCCAAGTCTTAAGGAGACTGATCAAAAATCACTAGGTGAGAATTACCAGTTACCATGCATATGCAGTGTGGAGTGCCCCAAACAGCCAAGACATCTCTCCGTTTATTGAGGAAGTTTCAACGTGCTTACATACACACACATAATGTTCACACACAAAATAAATGTGTAATGCACTTTTGCAGAGTCAAATTTACAGAAAAAAAAAAAGAACTCTCCCAAAGTCTTTACACAATTTAAATTCCTAGTACTGAAGTGATATAAAGCTGAAACACATACTATGGTGAGTTGTAAAAAATAATGCTGACAAATTGAAATCAGCAATGCTGATAATCATTTAAGTGGGACTAGGGTTTGAACTCAGGGCTTTGCACTTGCAGAGCAAGCACTCTACCACTTGAGCCACACCTCCAGCCCATTTTGGCCTGGTTATTTTAGAGATGGGGGGGTGGTCTCAAGAAATATCTGCCTAGCTGGCCTTGAACCTCAATCTTCCTGATATCAGCCTCCCAAGTAGCTAGGATTACAGATGTGAGCCACCAAGGTGCCCTGCTTCATTAGCTGCTTTTTTTTTTCTTTTAGGACATAGGTCTCTTTAAAGAATATATCACATTCATTTTCTATGTGGCGCTGCTCTTTTTGAAATTCTTTTGATTCAATATACACCAATATGAGCACTGTCTATTTTCCCATCTTCTGGGTTGTGCTTCTGTATTGTTTTGGGTATGTAGAAATCTACTCCACATGCACTCATCTTCAGACCCAAATGTTTGCAGAAAGAAGAGTAGTGATGGAAAAACAGCACCATTGTCAACTGGGAAATAAGGACACTTGTCTTTTTATCCTCTCGCACTTTATTTTTTAACAAGTCAGTAACTGCTGGCTTCTAAATGTGACCTTTGTTTTTTTTAGTTTAAATGCACTTTATTTGTTAGACAATCTACATGACATGCTTTTCTTCAAAAACAATGCCTCTGCTCCACATAAATCACAGTCAAGAGAAATGAAGAGCTAACGATGACATCAGTCCCATTTGTCTTAAGTCCAGGTGTTGTGTGATGACAAGCAGCAGCCAGTTATGATGACAGGTGCCCAATTTGTTAAAAATTTTTCCATTTCTAAACCATCCTTAAAAGAAAATCATAAATGGGGTCACACCATCATCAGAGTAGTCCAAGAGAGCACCATGCCATCTGGATTCATGTTTCACCAACAAAAAACTGGTAGTTATTGAAATTAGCAAGAATGTACTTGATTTTTTTCTGCAGCCCCTGTCATGAAGGGTTTTACTCTTTCTGGTCTCTGTTCTTCAAATTTGCCTTTGAGCAGATTTCACATAAGTTTTGATGTACTTCATGAGGGCTTCTTTTTTGTGAAGCTGGTTTCCTGTAAGTGATGGTTTACGACAATGCCAACACTAGTGATCACTGTGCTTTCAGTACCTTCACTCTCAGGATCTTTAGTGGAGGCATTTCCACCAGTGAGTCATTGAGCCCACTGCTCTTGCCCTCCACTTCCAGGCACAGCCCATCCTTGATCTCTCAGATCTTGTAAATGTAGAACACTCATTGTGGCTGATAAGGTCCTGGTAGATGATCATGACAGTGGCTGGAGAGTGATGGTGGCTGGAGGGAGAAAGCAGCTCTAGCTCAACAGGAGCCCAGAGCCGGAGCTAGATGCAGCCTGAGCGGTGCTGGGGTGGGAGTGAGGGGGAGCAGGCCTACTGGGCAAATGTGCTGAGTGGGGGTACATTGTGGCATTTACAAAAGTTCTTACAATATATCAAATATATTATACTTGAATTCACCCCTTCCACCATACTCCTTCATCGCTGCCCCCCCCTTCATGGATTTGTGTGCAGTATTTGCACCATATTCACCCTCCTTCACCATTTCCCCCATCTCCTACCCCCTCCCACTAGTACCAACCCCCATAGGCAGGATCTGTTCCACCCTCCTGTTCTCTGATTTTTGTATAAGGAAAGAAATGACATTTTTGCTTAAGATAGTTACACAGGGAGTTTCCTTGTGGCATTTCCATGTATATATGTGTTATAGCCTGATTTGGTTCATATCTTTCTTCTTTCTACCATAGGCCTTTTCTTATGTTGGTTTCAACCTGTTTAAAAATTCTGTGTTCATTCTTGTATAGAGAATACCCACCCCACCCCATTCCTGTAGTATCAGCTGGAAAGAATGCCATTTCAGACAGAGGACAAATTTTTAGTGGAAACTTTCATTGATGCCAAATCATGTGGCCAATCTCTTTCCCCCAAATTTGGATTTATAAACTTCTTATATGGACTTCCTCCCTCCCCATGGAAACTGCAGTTTTGAAATTTCAACTTTCAAAATTTTAGCATGGAAGATCTTAAACGTTTCCGGATGGTGATGGGGGTTTGAGATATTAGGGAAATTGATCATTCGGGATTATCTCGTTTTGGACTTTTGTCTCTTGGATTATGATGGCACCACTTTGTATCATATCTAAGAAACCATTGCCTAACCCAAGATTTATTCTCATGTTTTTCCCTAAGAGTTTTATAGGGCTAGCCCTTTTATTTATGACTTTGACCCATTTTAACTTAATTTTTATACGGTGTGAAGTAGGTGTCTAAATTCATTCTTTTGCATGTGGATATCATGCTGTTCCAGCATTACTTGTTAAAGAATTTTCCCCCAGTCTATCATCTGGCACCCTTGTTAAAAATCAACTGACTGTGAATGTTACGATTTATTTCTGGACTCTCAATCCATTCCATCAACCTTTATGTCTGTACTTGTGTAATACCATACTGTCTTGATTACTGTAGTTTGTACTAAGTTTGAAATTAACAAGTATGAGTCCTCTAAATGTGTTGTTTTCCAAGATTGGTATGGGTACTCTGGGTCCCTTCACGTTTAGTTTACTTTAGCATCAGCCTATCATTTCTACAAAGAAGCCAGCTGGGAATTTGCTAGGGGCTTCTTGGAACCATAAACCAATTGAGAAAAAAATGCCATCTTAACATTGTCCTCCAACACATGAAAACAGAAGTCTTTCCATATATTTATGTATTCTGTACTGTCTTGAACAGCACTTGGTCCTTCTCTCCTCTAGGGAGCGTTAGCGATGTCCTGAACCCCGGGCAATATCCCTACGGTGGGATTGGGATATGACCCAAGACAGACTAAGAGTAGAGGCAACGAAACTACA